GTAGCAGGGTTGGGCAGATTGGGAAGATGAGAAAGGGAACTCTGTCCAGGTTCAGAGGTTGGTCTTACTTCATCAAAATGTTACTGCTTTGGTAAGGCCTCTTCTGCACAAAAGGGTATCCCTATGATACCATACTGCTTATGTGGGGCTACAGACACTCTCCTCCTGTACTCTTGCCTCTTGGGACACCCTAAAGTACCAGGCCCATTCCTTCCCAATTTTTCTCAGGAGCAGCTAAGTAGCCAATCCCCTCCTCCTCTTTTGTACCCTTTAATTGGCTTTCTGGATAGAGAGAGCACTAACTAATTCAATGAAGCAATGAAGTACATTAGTGCGGATGCTAATAAAACATGTTCCAAGGATTTTAGAGCTGAGCGTGATATTTGTGTGGAAGTGTTTACTCTGAGAAGTCCTAAGCAGGGTTATCTGCAAAAAGCTGAGCTTTTTGGCAAAATGATATGTGCATCATTCTGCACATGCCCAACTGCATCTTTTTCCTTTGATCTTGAGGCACAACCCACTGGGGAATAATTATTTGTTGTTTCATTTCTTCCTGTAAAATGTCATAAATTTTCCCTATCACCCACTAGGATACAACACCCCCCCCCCAAATCCTGATAATTTCTTCACATACTTGGCATTTTTAAAATGTTGCATTTTTTGTACTGGTTCTAATACTGGCTGTGATTACATTGTCTTATTTAATCTTGGTTTGATGAATAAGACACTACTAGTTAGATTTACCTATTGCACTAAACCATGAATCACAGTGTTCAGAATAGAGTTCCCCTGCCAACTGGCAGGACTCAAGACATTCCAGTTATATATCTTCTCAGGCAGACTTACTCAATTTATATCTTTGTGAGAGTTGTTTACTTAGTATGTAGCAAGAGACTTTTACAATCTCTCTCTCTCTCTCTTTTAAAAGTGTTGTTTTATTTCTTGGAAGACTAGTTTGATTCTCTACAAAGGAAGGGGGAGGGGAATGGGCTGATTCTGCTAGTTATACATTTTAAGTTTATAAGGCTAGGATGTGACACTACAGCTTTTATTTCATTTATTCTTATTTTTCTCCTTTTAACGTGAGAAAGTTATATAGCTTGTTCTGTTAACCAAAGTTAGCATGTTCTGGGAAGATAATCGATAATAGACAATTCTGTAAGTAAGTTCCTTTTGAATATTGTTATGGGATAGAAAGCATACAGTGTTTATACATAAAATACTAAAGAATATTTTGTACTGCCATCTTGTATAATCCAATTGTAAAATCTATATACAATGAACAAATTATCTTCCACTTTAACTTCCACATTGCAAGCATTTATATGTGCAATAAATAGTGTGAAAGGCTCAAATGGATTGTGCGGATACCCAAAGATAACAGTTTTAAAATTGAATATACATTTGTAGCTATTGTGATTAAATAAATAGCATAGGCTTGGTGAATTCAAAAGAGCTTTTAGGGCATTTTTTCCACAAATAACATTTAATTGTATCTTTTCCTATTTGTGTCATATTGGACAATTGTTCATGCAGGACAGAATGCAGAAGAAAAACATGAATTACACATGAATCCCAATTATGCCTTTAAACTGCTGCTGCAAACCATTTTTAAGCAAATAATTAAATATTTAAAATATTTTATTTTGCTTTTCATTAGATATCCAGGGAAAACAGTTAAAAAGTCAAGATGGCAGCCACTCATATGATCAAAGCTCTGATTGTTATGTATGTTTACGGTATCTATCATGCAGTAAAGTAAGATTGACTGATATATTATTTGAACATAATAGGGGTAAAGGTACAGTACAATTGCTGTTTTCCTTTATTTAAAAAAGCTATAGAAAGCTACCTTAAAGTGGAAGATTAAAATTCTATAGACTTACAAAGGATTACCTTTTTATTGTGTCATTTAATTATTTAGAATATTTTTTGTATCATCCTATTCAAATATTTTGAGGGGTATATAATAAAACATGAGTATAAAAGAACCATTTAACAAATAACGCCTCATAATTAAAATATTAAAACACAAATGAATACATCCAGATCAAACACTAATGAAAAATGATCATCCAAAAATTGTAGCTGGATATCAAATGACTGTATTTTTTTTTAAATGTATTTGGTTCCTTCCTGAACGTTAGAAGTGATGTACAAATCTATTACCCCTAATCTGCCATTTATTTATACTAAGAATTTATTAATAGAATGCTTGTTATATATAATGACAAATTGAAATTTATTACACAAATTAATAGAAGAGAGTAGAACAATTGTTCTTAACTTGACTTCTCATAATGTGGTATTTTGGGTATTTGACAAAATGCCAAGTAATAAATGACACCTACACAAATGCTCAAAAGGAATGATCAATTTGGCAACTTAATTGCTTAATATAGTACTTTGGCGCCACACAGTGGAGAAATCCTGAAATCATAAAATTAATCATCAAAAATATTCATTTCTTGCCAACTTTTTTACAAAGTTATTTTTCCTACTTCGATAAAGTGAATATCTCAATAGGTTTCAATACAGATTAAAAGTGAAATAAACAGCCTCTGAAACACATAATAAAATGAATAATCTTACAAAATGAATCTATTTAGTTTTGTTTAAATGGTATTATAATGCTCAGAAATCAGAATCACATCATGCTATTTTAGGAGTTGAATTGTAAAACTATCCTGGAAAAAAATTATAAACATTTATTAACTTGTCTATGAGTTGTAATAAAACAAGAAATGAAACTTTTGAATGAGAATTCTTTAAAAGAATGATTTCCTCCCATACCATTTATTTTAGATTTCCTAAATCCTACTTTTGTTTTTATAAATAACTCAAGGCAGCAAACATACCTAATACTTCTTCCTCCTTCTAATTTTCCCATAAGAACAATGAGTTGGGCTGAAAGAGAGTGACTGATTCAAAGTCATTCAGCTGGCTTTTATGCCTAAGGCAGGACCAGAATAATACAATAATACAAACTATTACTGAGACATTTGAATAAGGCAGTGGTTCTCAAATAGTGGGGCGGGCCCCCCAGGGGGGGCGCGAGGCTCCGTAAAGGGGGGCTCGTTTGACCTCGGCAAATACTGTCATATTGGACGCACGTGACACACGCAAAGGACCCGACTGGATAGACAGTCACGCGGAGGGGCGCGAAATGTTTTCTTCTTCCTAGGGGGGGCATGACAGAAAATAATTGAGAACCACTGGAATAAGGTAATAAGGTAAAGGTAAATAAGAAACAGTTGACATAGGCATTTGCAGACTTGTGTGGCTTGGTTCCATTCCATTTTAATAATACTTCTTACATCTTAATTAAGCATCACTTCCTTAACTAAGTTGTAAATAAGTTGGCTTAAAATGTATACCTTTATTTAATGGCTAAAATGAAAAACAAAATGCACCTCATTAAAAGGGAGCCCTAATATCTATTTTAAATGGACTCCAGAAGATGGTAGAGGACAGGAAGACCTGGAGAAACGTTGTCCATGGGGTCGCGATGGGTCGGACACAACTTCGCAATTAACAACAACAAAATATCTATTAAATACAAGAGAACAAAGAGGGTTACAAGAATCTTATCCACCTTGGACAGAATACCAGAACTAATTGAAAATAAGTCTCTTTGGGTTATAATACAATAGGACTTAACAGTATTAAGCAAGAACCACGGTTGATATCTAGTGTTCAGATTCATAACCTTCACTAAGCCAAAACATTTGCTCATTCGTGGCCAAGTATTTTGTGAAACCGGTCATCATACTACATAAAAAAGTAGTTTATTATTCTCTATAACAGTGGTGGCAAATCTATGGCACAGGTGCTAGAGGCGGCACTCTGAGCCCCCTCTGTGGGCACGCATGCCGTTGCCCAGTCCTAGGCCTTCAGCTGGGTTTTATGAAATCTTTTTGCTTTAGGTCTCCACCGCCATGTGCAAAAAAAATAAAATAAAAAAATTCAATCAGTCAATTTCAATCTCTTGCGGGGGGAAAAAAAAAATCTTGCAAAGTTGGAATTGATTGATTGAACTTTTTAGTCCCACCCAGTCTGCTGTTATCACTGCAGCCACACCCAGTCAATGGGCCCCACCCAGTCAATGGGCCACACCCACCTGGCACTCTACAATGCATAAGTGGATTTGGGGTTGCAGTTTGGGCACTCAGTGTCTAAAAGGTTCGCCATCACTGCTCTACAAACTTCAATGATGGTACTTTATTCAGTAAAAGTGATTTGCGCTGATGTGCGATACAGCCAGCAAAAGGCTGTTCCAAATGGGTGAAACAGGATGGTGCTCTAGCCGGCACCCTCGCTGAATTCATTGAAACATAAGGCTGCTTGCTCTTTTAAGATCCATTCCGGTTTGTAGGATTTACTTTGCACCAAGGAGACTGACCTATATTAAGTACAGGATCTGATCTGAGGTTCGTTACAAACTCAACGCCATCGCAACAAGCGCAGAATTAATATTCTCGATCGCAGCATTAATATTACACCAATAAAGGAGAATATTTGTAGCTCAGGGTTGAAATGAGGGGATCCTTGTACTCTCTGAGCTTGGTTGTCTTCTTGCTGATGTTTCAAATACCCAAACGAGGTAACATCATCAATGACTAGTACTAATGTTACTTAGTGTGATCATGAAACATCTGCAAAAAAACAACCAAGCTCAGAGAAGATCAAGGACCCCTCAGTACTATATTGTAGTACTGCATCATTAATCCCATTGAGATTTAAACTGCGGGGTGATAAGCAAGCGCGGAACCCCAACAAGGCAACCTCCAACAGCCCAAAATCCCACCCCTTCTTCAAATCCCTACCGCGAGAGCCGATCTCTCGCTCTCTTTTTTGATTGGCGGGTGAAGCCGTCAGAGAGCCGTGGAGGCTGGACGAGCCTAAACAGAGGAGTCGCGTGCTCGTACGCCGTTCAACGCGACCCTTTCTCTCGTCTCAAGAAAAAGACGTAGCCGGCTGGGCTGCCCTTTCTTCAACTGCGCCCATGCCCCGCCCTTTTCGGCGGAGAGGCGGAGTTAGCAACCGGCTGTAGAGAGAAGGAGATCATGGCAAGGCCTGTCCGGAGGGTAAGTGTTGGGGGGCGCTTGCTGAACGGGATGTGAGCGAAACACGCCTTTCCTTTATATGGGTTCTGTTCTAAGCAAGTGCTCGCCTGATGTACTGTGCCGCAGAGTAGCTCATCGCTCTGTAGCACGTGAGGTTCTCGAACTCTGGATCAGTGAAGCGTGCAAACGATGCCTAGCTGCAATATGTCCTCTGAATGTAGCCTTTGCCTTTGACAAGAGTCAAGTGTATGGAGTGCGGAGCTCTTTCACGGTTACATCTGTAGCGGCGGGACATCTTTGGTATAGCCTGGAATGGATCCAATACGCTGTCAACAAAAAGAAATGCAGGCATATTTGGAGCCACGAGGCGTAAATGACCGCTGTCCTTTTCATGATAGTTTAGCACACAAACCAAAACAAAGTATTTACCTTCAGAAGAAGATAAGATAATGTCATTTTTTTACTGTGAGCACACTGGCCCACATTAAAAATGAAATTTTGTTGCCTGCTCTCAAAAGAAAGTATGTATCTTACCCATACGTACACGTAACACACACATACACATGTTACGCACACACACCACTCCATTTTGAACACATAGTCGAAAGAGGAAACTTGAGAGTTCACAAGATTGATGTTATATGGGGCACAGAAACCACAGTTTCTGATAAACTAAGAAACAAAAACAAAAAATCCCCCAAGTTTTCTAAAATGGGAAAAGGGGCTTCTAACACAACCCACCCCCACTTTATCACAAAGAATGGGATCAGGAAGATTAAGGTTTAGAATGGGTTTTTGGGTTATACTGAATGTCAGAAATGTCAAACATTTTTAAGATATGTATGAAATAATCGGAAAATAACTGAACTGCTAGCCTTACGTCATTTTTTTGAGTGGCTACCATTGAAACAGTTACAACTGCCTTTCTCAAATGATAGCATGAAATATTTTTAAAGCTTTATAGTCTCTTGACATGTTATATCCTACTTTCCAACATTGGCTTTATTCCATATATTTCTGGAGAGAAGTCAGGTGCTAGTCAACATGGTGCTTTGCTAGCTTTTGGTTAAGGTCAGCAGCCTTGCTCCATTTTGTTTTAAGTAGAGTTTGTCTCTTGTAGAACTCACATGAATTCAAGAACATTTGAACTAGGAGACTATAACAAGAGAAATTAACCTTTGCTGTGTTTCCAGCACAATAGCCACAACAGAAATAATATCTAATATTTTTGCATCTCTTTCTGGTACCTGCGTTATGTATCAAGGTTGCTTGATGGGAAACTAGTTTCTTTCTATCCCTTGGTTTTACATGGTCATAATTATATTATTTTTCCATTATTTTTGTAATGTATTTTGTGCATGCATTTGGGGTGTTCGTCAGATAGTACAGGTAGTCCTTGTGTAATGACCACTTTGTTCAGTGACTGAAGTTGTGATGGTTTTGAATGAATTGTACTTATGACTGACAATCAGCTCACATTTAACAATGGTTGCTTGCAGCATCTTGCAATCATGTGACCACCATTTGTGACCTTCCCTGCTGGCTTCCCACAAGCAAAGTCATGCGGAAGCCAGCAGGGAAAAGTCACATTCCAGTAAGCCATTCACACGTTTCCCTGCCCAGCAGCCGCCACTCCCAGTGCTGCTATGCCTTGCAGGCTATCTTACCCCCTCCTCTGGCTGGCAGCAGCCACTTACTTGCCTGACAGCCTGCTTGTAAACCACGGACTCAATTAATGACTAACAATCTTTGTTTAGTGCTAATCTTTGTTTATAGGCAGCAGGAAGTGCTGGGATTGCCTTTGCTAAGTTATGCAGTCATGTGATGTCTCACTTATAACTGTTTCCCGTAGTGATGGAAACTCTGGTCCCAATTATTCCCATTAAATGAGGACTATCTTTATATCAAATGATAGCCTCTACATCACCAGTGCTATACTTGATTGTGACGTATCATGACATTTTTTGCCTTTGTGGAGCCAGGGTGGGCATGGCCTGAGTGTGATGCATCCGGCCCATGGGCTGCCAGCTTGACATCCGTGCTCTATATCATGAAACAGGAAGAAATAGTAATGTAGAAAAAAGGTAGAAATGAAATGCTATGGCATAAATCATAAAACATGATATTTCCAAACTGTACATAGAGAAATAAAACAAGATAACATGTAGGCTTTCCTTCTAGGGGGAACTTGTTAATAAGTATTTGTTAAACCTGAAATTAGGTAATCTGTATTGATTAGTTTTGTTACAATATTGCTCATGTGGATTTACTCTCAGGAAAATATTTCAGAAGTAAGATGCTGATTCCTCATCTGGAATCTTGGCTTTAAATTTCTGACTGCTGGACCTTTGCGGATTTTGTTTTGATTGAGTTTGTGTATTTCAGGTGGAAATAGTGGCTAATGAAGTCTGAATGAAAATCTTGCCTAAACCCTTTTCTCCAGAGTATATAGAAATAAGGTAGACAAAGATTTTGCAAAGTATAAGTCTGAATTAAAAAGACTTCATTTTTAAATTTTGTATTTAAACCAATGTCCTAATATATCAAATATATTATTCTTTAATAGGTAATTCTTTAATCTACCAAAATGGTTTTAAAGAAGAAGAAAGAAATTCAGGTTGATAGCTTTGTTCTTGAATACCAACAGCTTGAAAGACTTCGCTGTAAGTATAATTAAGTTGCTTAATTTGTCTCTGTAGATATAATTTAGTGGTGCTATAATGATTTTTTTTAAACTAATTTCCCTTGTGGGTACATTTTGAATTAAAGATGAGAATATCAGCCCTTTTGCGTCTACATGTCTATATGCTTTTTCTACCCCAATTTGAAAAAAAAGATTTTCTTCAGTGAAAAGCAAATTAGAGAAATTATAAAATGTGTGATGTTAAAAAAATGTTCTGTATTAAAGATTTGCTTGAAATGCCCTTCCGACTTTCTGGTTTTCTGAAGCAGGTTGGTCATTCAGCTTTGAATGGGCTATTTATATTAGTAATGAACAAGTCTCGCTCAATATTGTATTGCACTTAAGTTCTATTTCTTAAGGGTAACATTTGGACAATCAGTTCTGTTCTATCTGAATTGAAGTGCTGTTTGCAAAGGAGTGATGTCATAGGGAGCATACATGCTCAACAATACCTATGCTGTTGTTATCTGGATCATTTATATCCTCAACATTAATAGCAGTGATTAGTTATTTGATTTGTGCTGAATTCTACACTGTTCAGGTGGGTTTATTCTCAAGAAACTGTTCAGGAAAATAAGGTCATGAAAAGGTGTACTGTTTGAATGCAGCCCTGTATAAGGGAGGAGTAGGGAATAGCTTTTGTCATGTAGACTATTGAACTATTAAAACATTTTTGCTTTCTAAATGCGCAGCTTTTGCAGATGATGAAGGACAAAACCTGGCTTCTCTATTATTGCAGTGTGCACAGTTGACAGATGGCATTCAGCAAATTAATTTGATCAAACAGGTTTGATTTTAATTATACTAGTAAAAAGAATAACATGGAATTAGGTTAAATGCATGCTATATAGTCTTATTTACATACAAATAAAAAATGAGCACAGTTGTGCACATGAATTTCACTTTGGCCATGTTCTTTATCCTTCCTACAAATGAGAAAATCAAATTGTTATTCCTTAACATTTATTTAATGCTAGATCATGTATTTGTTTAATTTAAGAGCTACATCCAGCATTGCATGACTAGACTTTGCTGATGACATAGAGCATCCTGTTGGTTTTTTATCTCAGTATTGACTTAAGAATCTTCCCAGTCTTTAATCTGGAATGCACATTAGTGGTGCCAGGAAGTGAGAGGAATCTGTTTTTTATTCTTTGTGGGACACCATTGTTGGATCCAATTATTACTCTACAATTTAAAATAGAGTGGTGGATACAAATGTTACTTTAAAACAGTGAATACTGTTTATAAGTTCATACTTATGTACTGTTACTATTGCAAGATATATTATCTTACTGTTAAATGTTGTCACCTAGTGGAAACTTTCAAATGTGCTTTTTTCATAGCTATTTGGAAAGATCATTTGGAATAGTCTCCCATCCAAGATTCAAGGGGACTGTTTCCTTTTAGCTTTCTGAAAGGCCATGAAGATCTTGGTTTTTATTCCAAACATGGTCTAGGATGGGTTTGAGTCAAGTAGTTAACAATGTAGGAGGTTCTATTTCCTTGGGGGAGAGGATATGATGTATTTTAATATTATTATTTGCTGTGAACTGCCTAGGATGTGAGATAGACAAATTAGCCCAGTAAGAAAGTAAGTTATTTTCTATGCTGATTAGCAGCTAATTTCATATTAGAGATGTTTAATAGAATTACCTATATGCCTGAAAATGCAAGGCATTTGATTCATGAATTGCAAGAATAAAAGTCAAGAAGGAGCAGTATTTCATCTTTTAAGATTATCCAAATCATTATGTAGTCTGACCTTCCCCAGCCTGGCACTTTCCAAGTATGTTGGAACTATAGCTTCCATAGTAGTCACTGTTGAAATGGTTGCTTCAGCAAAGTTGAAGGATATCTACTTGGGAAAGGCTGATAAATATGAATAGCAAAATCAAATTTGTTAATTTGTGTGAATTATAGTGACTGGTGGAAAAGATGAAACCAGTAAGAAACATAAGGTTATTTTCATGCTTGGAAGAATTCTGATAAAAGTGTTAAATTAATATTAAGAATTTAAAAAGTAAAAGATTATATCCTGACTTTATGTTCAATAAAATTAAGAATGATATCCAAGGGGTTGGGAGACAGATGGAAATTTACACAGAAGGGATTAGAAATAAATATCCTAAAATGGTTCTGAAATAAATAAGGGTAGAACAGTGACCTGGAGTTTCCCATACTCTAATGTTTTGTTGCAGGTTATGTTTCTATTATACATTCTGTTTTGCATTCTGTTAATACATACTGTGCTTCTTACTGACTTTTACATAAACCTGATATATACATTACACACAACACACAAACACCTATGTATATTTTGAAAAAAATGCAAGTTACATTATTTTTATTTTTGTCATCTGTAGATTGTGCCTTTACTGGAGAAGATGGACTCCACGTCTTCATGTAATAACATGGTTAAAAGTTGTTTAGATATTTTGGGGATAACATTCTTATCTTTGGATATAAAGAACCCTTTGAAAAAAGTCCTAGCAAGGTATTAGTTAAATGTTATACTAAGAAAGTGCTTCATGTTTCTGTGATGGTCTTCAGGGGAACATGGATATTGAGAAAATGAATGATATAAATGGTGGTGGACTTTATATGACATAAAAGATTTTGTATGAGATATAAATTTTAGAAATGATTAAAACAGTCATATTCATTGAGATGTTCTAAGCATTCTTGACTTTATAATCCTATTCTTTACCTTCAGTCTTTATTGATATGTGTTGAAATGTACTCACTAAATCTTAAAGGTAGAGATATTACGTGTGATGTAGTAATACAAACCTTAGTTAAAGAATTTTGTGATATTCAGCAAATAACGAATGTAGGTGAATATACGTGTCCCAGGATAATGTTGCAGGATCCAATCTGGGTCCAAGGTTTTTGTCTTCTGAGCTTTTGGACACGTGCTAGAGTCCATCTTTAGGGAATGTCTCTCTAGCTAGCAAATTGCTTGCCTTCAGATAAATTACTGATTATATTTTCAAATCCTCTAATATTTACATTTTTGGGAAAAGTGTAATGGGCTGTGTAATTTCAAAGATGCAAGACAGGAAACATTTGATGAAATGAAATGTTTAACTGAAGATCTGCTTTTTCTGTATATGTTCCATTTTCCTTTGATTTCTTTTGAAGTCTCGTATCGAAACCAGTAACACAAAATAGTGCTGAAGAGATTGTGGTGCTCAGACAGAAACATTTATATGGTTTTTAACTTAAAATTTTTAATATTTACATTTTAATGTGGCAATGCTTTTTTTTTATTTACAGTTGCCTGAATGACCTTCCAGAACTGCTTATAGCAGAAGCTACAGAGAGTTTTGTTGTCTGCCTTAAGGAAGAATTAGCAACTACAAATTTCTCCTGCATTAGAAAAACTATAGATAATCTTGCTTCTTGTGTGGAACTTATAAATATAGGTATGATTCATTTTTAAAATATGTTATATGTTAAAAAAATATTTTTTGATTAGTCAATATAAGATGCTAAAATGTGTACTTGAATTTTTCAGGTAAATCATGTGTGACTATACTATTCAAAGAAGGTAAATGCTTGGTACCTCTTCTTGGGTTGGAATGTTCTGTTAATGAGAGAAAAATATGAGATGAAAATGCTTCATAGTAGTCTCTATAGGAAGCATTTTTCTGTTGCTAAGTTGCTAAAAGCATTTTCTATATCTTGAGATATTACAGTTTTTAAATACTGGAAGGATTTCCTTTCTGAAAATCAGTTGTCTGTCTTCCTGCAGCCAGTTTTAGAGTTCTCAAATTCTGTAGGGAGACACAGGTAGAGATTGTGGGTGGAAGGAAAATACGTATAAGAGGAAATGCTATTGCATGATCTATGTCTGCTTATACAACATTGGATTTTATCTCTTCATAATGGGTAGATTTATAGTAATAGGCAGTCTTTCAGACATTCAGATGCTGTATAACTGTCCTACTACAGGTAGTCCTTGCTTAACAACCATTTGTTCAATGACTGTTCAAAGTTAAGATGGCACTAAGAAAGGAGACTTATGACTGGTCCTCAAAATTGTGGCTGTTGCAGCATCCCTGCAGTCATATGATCGTGATTTGGGCACTTGGCAACCAGGACATACTTACAGTGGTTGCAGCATCCCACAACTTTTGGAGGCTTCACAGCTGCTTCCAACAAGCAAAGTCAATAGAGAAGCCGGAAGAAGTTGCAAGTCATGATCACATGATGTTATGCTTAATGAACTGTGATGATTTGCATAACCACTACTAAGTGGAACTGATATTGTAAGGCAGCACAGTTCTGTGATGTTTTCTGTGATGTGCTCCATAGCAACAGAGTTCCAGGTCACAATTGCAGTTGATAAGTGAGGATTATCTGTATATACAGTACTTGAGCAACATGCGGAACGCTTCACTGAATTCAGTATGGATATTACAGTTGAAGGTTAAGGATGAGGATATTGAAAGCTCTCTCAATTCTCAATTCTAATTTATATGTTTTTTTAAAACTATATTTCCATAGCTCTTCAATTCCTGTTGAAATCTGTACTTAAAATACAAGAAGAAAATCGGTAAGTGCCAGTACTCAAGCTGCAATGTAAAGTGTGAAAAATGTAAAATGCAAACTTAAAGATTATTTGGGAGAATACCTTCTTTTAGCTGTAGCAATCTGATATTTATATACGGCATATTCCTCAAGTTAAAATTTTGCTTTGTTTGGTTTAGTGGTATAAAGTTTATCAAAACAGTTTTGAAATTTAAGTGATAACATTTTTGAATTCTGGTATTTAATCTATTTAGATATTCTGCATATTCTTCCCAACAATTTTGGACTTTTATTCAAGGTTGGGAAAGTTTGCTCCCAAAATCTACTTTGGTGGTTAAAAGACCTCAGAAGCAGATTTGAAATAGTAATTTGTTTTATATATATATCTTTTTAAAGGAAATTTAGTGGAAATCACATTGCTCAAACTCGGTTGATGCATGATTTGCTTATGGGAATTAAAGTTTCCATGACATTGATTCAGAGAGTTCTGGAAAATATACAGAGATGTTTTTGGAAGAAATTGGATTCTCCCATTTGGCAATGTATGTGTGGACTTCTGAACAGCTTTATATGCTTCTTAAACAATGGTAAATAGTTCTAATAATTTAAGTTTTTAAAACTATTTTATTGTTTATTGGTCATTGGCCATTGGCCATTAATAACAAGTCTGAAGAATATGAGATATTTATTTAATGATTTTCACCCCCTCATTTAAAATTTGCTTCATAAGTTTATTTCAAAAGAGAGAGAAAGCTAAACTCAGGAATAAGAATCTTTATATTAAAATAATGTCACTCTTGCTTATTTTTTTTTAACTTGGACTGGATTTAAAAATTTCTATGAATGCAATTCTACTTGCAAAAAGGATACAGGAATACCTTACGTATCAACTATCTTTTTAGTGACTGTTCAAAATTATAATGGTTATAATAAAAGACACCTTTGAAAATCAGTCTTCATAACTAGCAGAATTAATGGAGAATGCAGATGTGAAATTGCATGTTGCTGTCATGTGATGTCTCTTTTAACGACCACTGTGATTGCTTAACAATAGAAGTGATATCATAAGTCTGGCACGGTCGTGTGCTTTTTTGCTTAGTGACTGGAGCGCTTTTTTGCTTAGTGACTGGTATGATTATGAGAATTAGCATGTTAGAGGCAATATAAAAAATATAGTAGGAATTACCTTATTATTTCAGAAAAGCAAGATAGTACTCAAGTACTTTAAACACCATTTATAATTCTAGTATCTTTTTCTTTTATTTAGAAGACCTTCTGCAAACAGTCCAGACTTCAGCGGGATTGGCTGTTGTTCTTTTTATTAAGACTATGTTTGAACCTGTTGAGAGGTTACCTTGCTTGGTTAGTGTGTTTCTTTTGAAAAAAGTAAAAATATGCATAAAATTAATTTTGAATGTGTATTTGAAATATTAAGTTAATTGAAGAAAGAGAAGTAACTGAAAGAGTAGCCATTTCTATATTAGTTAAAAGTTTCATATTTTATGTAAATTCTGCTACAGTGCAATCAGATAACATTTAACTATAAACCGCTTTGGGACAAGATAAAACTTACTTGGAAGTTAATCCCAGTGAATTCACAGGGACAATTATCAGTTGATTTTTAAAAAATTGCAACTATAATTTATTTTTATTTATTATTTTTATTTTATGAGACTTATATACCGCTTTAAGTGCAAGCACTCTCTAAGCGGTGTACACCAGTAAGCAATGTATGTATGTATGTATGTATGTATGTATGTATGTATGTGTGTATATATATATATATATATATATATATATATATATATATATATATATATTTCCATTGCCCCCAACAATCTGGGTCCTCATTTTACCTACCCCGGAAGGATGGAAGGCTGAGTCAACCTTGAGCCGGTGAGATTTGAACCGCTGACCTGCTGAACACAGTCAGCTAAAGTGGCCTGCAGTACTGCACTCTAACTGCTGCGCCACCTCTTGGTCCCACAGATTTACTCAACCTATGGATCTGAATTTTGACAATGAGTAAATGCAATCCTATACAGATTTGGGGATAGCTTATAATGCACCTTGAAAAGGCATGTGCTTGGGGAGTAAAAATTGAGACAAATAGCAATCATAAATACTAGAACAGGACAGCTTTGGAAACATACAGTATGTACTATTTGAAATTTAGCTTCATAATTTCCATTCATTGTCAGGTGTATAAGAAATAACTTGCATTTTGCCAGTTTTGTTGTAAATTCTTGCCTTCCAGTGATCTGGTAAACCATACTTTTTATTTTTTTTCCCCTCTTATATGATAGTTATATTCCATTGCTTTTTTTGCAGATCAGTGACTTGATTTGTGGCTTATTAAATTGTTCTGATGTGCCAAAGTGGTTTGTGGTCAGCTGTGGTGGTCTTTGTACTGCTGAACTTTCTGACTCAGTCCTCCTTTTTCTTTGCCATGGAGCACTTGCTATGTTAGATTGGAAAGATCACAGCATGGAAGAGAATGCAGAGAAACTACTCTTGGATATAGCCTCTGTTTTGCTGACTTTAAGCACACGGTAAAATCTATTTTTTATAGTTTTAATAATATAAATGAAACTCAGATTCTTCATTGACAAGGCTCAACTTGCACTGTAAATCCTATGAATAATGAAATATAACATTAAATAGAATATTTAGAGCCAGTGTGAATTTAGTAATTGAAGTTCTGGTTTAGAAACCAGAACTCTGTGGGTTCTAGACTGCCTTTTGCATGAAAGCTGGCTAGAGAGAGTGTCATAAAATTGTTATTGTAGAGAAAATAGGCAGAAATTATTTGTAAATGCCTCCCCATGGCTACAGTCTTGTGTCTGCCTATCTGGAATTAAGCACTGTTAACTTCATGGGGAAATGGTTTTGTCTAACTAAGACAATGAGGCTGATTTGGCCTATTGTTTTCCTTTCTACCACTTCTTTTCTACAGAGTTCCCTAATCTTCTGAAGTACTTTAGGCAGTCAGAGAGTAAGGAAGAAGAGAGGGAGAGCTGTATCTACACATTAATATTTTTCATTAGCAGCTGTATACAATATAATGCCCCAGCCATGATAGAACAGAGAGTTGCATAAGCATTTTTAAATTTCATCTTCAGCCAGAATTGAACTTGAAATTAGTCTGAAACCAATTTGAAATTATTTTTAGACTGGATAATTTGCTAAACTGGGTAAAAATTTAGAAATATGTAGAATCATATGCTAAAGGGAAACCTTAGAAAAATATATACACCATTTATTATATTTTTTTCAAACATATTTGTCCTGATCTTCTGTTAGAAAAGCTGTCAGAATATGGGCATCTACATTGGGGACAAGGGAGGAGTCAGTTGGTCTTCCAGATTTCAGTTCTTTTTTTTTTTTAAGTGTCAAATTCTAGTCTTTCTAAAGAAGATAAGGTGACAAAGGGTAGATTATGTCAATAAAGCAGTAGTGCAGTATTATGCAATCTCTTGCCAGTTGAATTTTTAAATGGATAAATGAGTGGGCAGACAGGTTAAAGTTGACTGCTGACAAAGCAATACATTAATGACTTAGAGAGTTTTGTTTATGTGTATAGAGTATTAAGCAAAACAAACTTTGCATTTCTGTTTCTTTCTAGATGGGCCCTTTTTCTCATTCTAAGCTGGGTTCTGCATTAATGACCAACTAGGTCTTCATGGAATCACCCAGCTATTGTAGTGCCATAAAAACTGTCCTTATTACTGTTACATGAGCACAATGATATTGGATTTTTGTAGAAAATATCATGTAGTTGGTCAGAAGGTTTTTTTTTTCTCAAGCTGTGTAAAGGACTTTATATTGAATATGCCAAAGTTTTTTTTCTTTCAGCTGTAAAACACAAAATGGGTGGCACTATATAGTTAAATGAAATCGAAAAGTATTTTCTTTAACTTTATTTATTGTCACTTACTTTGTAGAGGCACTTAAGATGGTCCAACTATTGTTTGAACTCCCTTTTTTTACTTACAAGTAGCACCATTACCAACTTACATTAAGCATCAATTTGTTTTCCTTCATCCAGTTTATAGAAGGTACCAGGCATTGCTTTTATGTTTTTAACAGTGTAAATTAGATTCACATTTCCCATTATAGTTTTCCCTACTACTTAGAAATATTTCTGCATCCGAAGAGCAGCTTGCATATATTCTAAAATATATAACCCAGAAAGAGAAAGAAATTGTGAAGAAGAAAGAAAAAAAAATCAAACATTGAGCACAGCTAAAAAAATAATTAAAGTATAAGAAATGGTTTTATTATAAATCAAAAGCTTTCACATCAATGTAAATAAGAGGTGGAATAAGGAGGAAAAAAATCTACATCTGTGACCCTTGACACTTGAGCATTAATACTCAGTTTGTTTTAAAATATGTTCATGTATTTCTGTTATAGTTTACTCTGTTTCTCCAAGGTTAAAAGAGTCTGTAATGGCAGCATCTCTATCCAGAATTCTAGCTATTTGGACCAATGTAGCAATGGATTGTCTTCAATCAAGTTCAAGAACTCTGAAGTTCAATCTCAATGGAAACTCGGAAACCATTGGTAAAATGTTGGACTATGTGTACGCACATTGGGAACATCCACTAGATGCAGTTAGGTACCAGACCAAGCTAATATTTAAAAATCTGCTTCAAATTCATCAGACTGCTGTGAAAGAATCCATAATAAAACCAGACCCTTTCTTCTCAGAATTAACTGAAAGCCTGCTAGGTTTAGAATGGCATGTTAAAGGCAAATATTCATCACTTGGATATCTTGTGGAGTGTATTGGCATTGAAAATCTTTTGGAAATTGACAGAACAATTCCTGTACAAATCTTGGGTGTAATGAATGATCAGTCTTTTGCACCTTATGCAAGTGATTTATTGGAAATCATGTTTGTGAATCACAAGAGGCATCTTATATCCACTTTGGAAAGAAGCACTTGGATTGATAGTTGGCATGAGACATGGGTTTCTCCTCTGCTTTTGATCTTATGTGATGGAAATCCAGAACAAGCCACCTATGTAACAGATTATTACTTACCAAAATTGCTAAAATGTAGCCCAGAAAGTGTGAACTACATGATTAAAATCCTTCAAATTTCAACAGAGTCTAATGTTGGTAAGACCTTTTATCTCATACTGAACATGTTGTAGTATAATGTGTCCATAAATAGGCTGAGTTTGGGGTGATAGTGTTTTTTTAAATTTATTTTTTGAAGGGAATTTGGGGGAGAGTAGAATTCCAAGTTCTTAGATATTTAAAGGATAAGTAAATATGGCTCTTGGTGACTGGGAACATACTTTCGAATTTCTATTCTGAAATATTTCAAATTTCTATTCTGAAATATTTCAATTAATAATACAAATTTTATTTTCTTTATTACAAACTAAGTAAAGTTGGTCATTTCCCCGTTGGATTAGTTTTCTTCATAAACATTATTAAAGATAACCATATTTTTCCCTAACCTTAATAAAAACATGATTTTATTGTTTTTATTGAAACTTTGACTTTCATATTATGAAGGACTTTCATATTATTTCATAGAATGTCTTCCAGTCAGTAGAATAGCCATGTCTTTGGTCAAATTCAAATGATTGCTTTATAAGCTGTTCCTTTCCAATAAAGCATTTTTATATTTATATGGCCTTAATATTTAAATGCCATGATAATGCTTGTAATATGGAGTCACATCTGTGTGTATCATACAAATTAAGCTAGATTAATCTGTTTGGCGGAAATGATCTTTATGGGCATGCTTAGCTGAGAAGGAAATGAGTGACTAACCATTATCTTTGTTAATTGGAATTTATGTATTTTATTAAGGATCTTTCAAAACCAGAGGAGCTCTTGGAGCCCTGATGGCATGCTTGAGAACGGCCAGGGCTCATGGGCACTTGCAGTTTGCAATCATACTACAAGACGGCCTTGTGCCTGTGAGCTGTATAAAACAAGGTTTGGTTCACCAACACGATGAGGTACCTCTCTCAACGTTTGAAATGTTAGAGTTAATGTTTCAGAGAAACCAGATAATTAAAAATTTGCTTCTAATTTTAAAGGTCCGAATAGATGCTTTGGGTTTACTATGTGAAAGTCACCGTAGCACAGAAGTAATTTCCATAGAAGAAATGCAACTGATACAGTTTTTTATTAGATACAACTTGAACAACCAATCAGCAGCAGTGAGGCAACAGATTTGTTCGTTACTGAAAAAGGTAATTTTAAAATGTGAATGTAAAACATACTCTTGTTTCTCAAAATGCTATAAGGAAATGCAATACAAATGAAATTCCATGAAGTCTTTATTGATTTTTTAAATATGTAAACTAATTTGTAATGCCATTTTTTATCTTTTTAATTGAATTCTATTTTGTTTTTGGTTTTTTAAAAAAAGCTCTTCTGCCGGATATATGAAAGCTCCCAGGCAATTCATAAAATGCAGCAATTGAAGTCTAAACAAGGTCTAATTAATCAATCACTTATATGGGATCCACCTACAACTTTGCAACAGTATCAAGTAGGTTTTGTAAATTGCTCTAATCTAAATAATTAATATTTTTGTGTAAATTTCAAATATTTCAGTAACCACAGAAGAGGAAAGTAAAATAAGCAGTTGATTTTCTGTGATTTATAAAATTAAGGTATGAGATAGAAAAAAAAGTCATGTAAAATTATCTTACTCTAACATAAAGGAAATGAACTTAATTCAGTATTGACTGTGCTTGCCTTTTAAAATATTTCATAATGTGTTCTGTCCTAAACTGAGTCTTATGCTACATGTACAAAACTAAACTGGGTCTTATGCTACATGTACAAAGCATTTGAGCTTTCACAGGCCTGAAGACACAGGATAGAATCAATCAACTATATTGCTGGAGTAGATTTGAACCATTAAACAATGTGTATTATGTGCACATTGAAATTGTGCACATTGAAATTGAAAAGTATAGAAAATTCTTGTCTATGAATGTGATGTTTTTAGTAAGTTTTTATTGTTCATTTTTATTCCTGGAAAGTGATATTAATTCTTGTACTCTTTTCTTGAAAAGAAATCTGGGTGCTCACAGCTGAAATATAGATTGGTATTGATAGAATATACACATAATGCAGGACAGGCAGTCAGCTTGTTAGTTATGCTGTGATATCATAGAAGGCTCTCTGGCAGTGTTTCTCAACCTTGACAATTTTCAGGTATGTGGATTTCAACTCCCAGAATTCCACAGCCAGCAATGCTGGCTGTGGAATTCTGGGAGTTGAAGTCCACATGCCTTAAAATTGTCAAGGTTGAGAAACACTGCTATGGTGCATGCAAACTGAAGTTTTATTTAGGGTTAGCACCAAAAATTGCTGAATTATATCATGCTTAAAAGATAAAAATATACCATATAAGTATTTGTGTATGTTCTAATAGAAAGCATGTGTCATTGATCGGAGGAAATTGTTCAACAAAAAATGCACTTCTGTGTCAGGACCAACTCCGTGTTAGTACAAGGTAAAAAGAAAGAAACTGACTAGAGGTGACCATCAAACATCATGATAGCCTCAGTAAAGCACTTCTGGCTACTGTAAAAGTTGCAGAAGCCCTTCCCCCATTCAGTCATGTGACCACATTTTGGGCACTTGTCAACTGGCTTGCATTTACAAACAATTGCAAAGCACCCTATGATCATGTGATTGCCATTTGCAATCTTCTCTGCTGGCTTCCCTATAAAATCAAAGGGGAAGCCGGCAGGGAAGGTTGCAAGAGTGGGGAGGACAGGACAGAAGGAAGCTGAAAACAACCTCTCAAGGATTTTTTCCTCCATGCATGGAGGGAAGCTGAAATCTTTTGGTGGGCTGCAGGAACATTTGAAAGTGAAAGAGCTGAAGCAGGCAGCCTTTTCATTCTGTCCATTTAGTGACCTGGGAGGTCACTTAATGATTGCAACCAGGAATGTTGGGATTGTTGTTAAGTGCAGAAGTCATGTGGGTGTCTCGCTTAACAACCACTTTACTCAACAACCAAGATTCCATTTACAATTTTGGTTGTAAGTTGCAGAGTCCCTGTATACTCTGCAATTTCATCTTTGCTGCTCTGTTTATTCAGGCTTTTTGAAAAGAAAAGAACAAAATATATAGGTACTCCATATAGATGGCTAATTTAAGTGAATGGATTTCAAAATCAGTTTTGCAAAATTTACCTTTTTATTGTGCAGGAATTTACATGTCAGTTTTTCTAAATTGGTGAAAAAGTCTTCTTTCTATTGCTTAAGCTTTCTAGTTAGCTAGTTCTAAAATCAAGATTTAGGCAATCCATCTTTCGAGGACCAGGTAGAACCTTCAGGTTATCAGAATGGGACAGCTGAGTAGAGAAGCTAATTTTACCTTAGACTAGGAAAAGTTAAAATGCATAAGCTGTTCACTCAATGGCTGAGTTCATAAAACTTGCTTACAACATTAATGATGGGAGCAGCATTTTATATGTACCTGGTAATCTACTGTAGCTACCGCTAGGCTAGGAAAATAGTGGTCAACCCATCTTCCCCAAGGCACACGTTGTTGAAATCAGCTGTGGGATAGTGTCTAAGATACTTATTCCTCCAAGAAAAAGTGACGGAGCTGTGGACTTTCTAAGAGTAGGGCACTGCACTGAAGAATTTACATAATTTGGCAGCTGCAGAATGTACCTCTCAAACTCTGATGAGATGGGGCGCCTTAACTGTGACCACTATTGCGTGCTCTGCCAGTGGACTCAGTGAAGGCTTGTCCACATTCTGCTGACACAAAGGCTGATAAGAGAACCATGGAAGACTCATGGATAATTTGTATTCTCCAGAATAGCAGGCCTTGACCTAGTTATTGTGTTATAGGATCAGAGGATAAGGAGGGATGATTTGGTTGATGTGTAAGTGAACCAGGACACCAAGAATTTTTCACACATAGATTTCAAATATATGGTATTATTAGGTATAAGCAACCAGATCTACTCATGAATAGCCTCAGGCTGAAACTTCATTGTTTATCACCTATGTCACAAGAATCTCAGCAGACTGCTTGCCTTCTCCTGGGAGCTCCAGATAAGACTTCATGAATTTTGGGGGGAGGTCATGCTTATACCATTTGCAGTTTACAATGACTTCAACCTTGGCTCACTTGGCCCCTCTCTCCAGCCTAACTGAGAGTTTCCCCACAATAGTCTACATATATGCATAGATTAAAAACATGTATTCCTCTTTCCAAAGGAAAATTGTATTTGATCATTATCGCAGGTAAAAATGTAATTACTGCTTTATCTTTAGGATTTCATCTCTTCCATCTGCAGTATACTTTTTGAATCCTTGTTTCCTGGTTCATCCCATTCAAGCAGATTTACTGCACTGACTCTTTTGGGAACAATAGCTGACATATTTCCTAATTCAGAAGGTAGGTTACCTTAAAGAACAGAATCATATTAAAATGATTTTACAGGAAATACTTAAGTTAATGTAAGTTTTAAAATATTTTTTCATATCAAAAATAAAATTGTTAAAGGATAAGAATATTTTTATATTAGATCAGCGGCTCCCAGCCTTTTCTATATCCCTCACTCCTAGAACGCTTCTGATACATTCTCGCACCCCTTACAAAAGTTTGAAATAATGGCAATGAATTATGCATATACACTATAATTTTGAAAACCCAAGTTTTCACACCCACTGCAATATCATCTTGCACCCGCAGGGGGTATGAGCACCCCCGGTTGGGAACCCCTGTATTAGATTATAAGAACTATGTTTGGATGATATAATGTTACTACCTGTAGTTATAAACATGCTGGAGGGTCCCTTCCTTAAATAACATAGCTGGTATGGTTTAAGTTGCTCTTTTATGCACTTAAAAGTGATGACTGCTTTCATCAGAAACAAATCTGAGAAAGAAGCTATTGTTTATTTTATGGCTCTCTTTTTGACTTGACATGCTTCAGTTAGAGAAACAAAGTACATGCTGAGATCCATTCAGAACAAGGAGTCTACAGATATATTTCCACTAAGGTACACGAGTAGTCCTTGGCTTACATTTAAAAATGACTGTTTAAATTTTCAGTGGTACTGAAAAAAAAAATAGATGTACAACCAGTCTTCAAGTTCAGTTATTACAGCATGTGATCATGATCCAGGTGCTCTCATGACCAACTCACAATTATGATTTTGCAGAGAGGTGCAATCACATGATAAGCCATTTATGACCTTCCCTGAAAGATAGATAACAATCTACCTTCCCTGTCCATGGTTTGAGATGGTTTGAGAGAGGATTGAAGGAATCCATTTATGTCAAAGTGGAAAATCCTTCCCTCAGTTAAATGGAGGCCTCAGACACAATCCCCTATTTTTTATGCTGCTCAAGCATCAGTCCCCAGGATGATAAAGACCCACTTCACCGGTTCAGCAGGGAGGCCACACTTAATGACCCACTGAGGAGAAAGGATTTAGGAGCAACTACTTTTAGCAACTCACCTAATGAACCTGTTCAAATTAGTTGAGAAATGAAAACCACCCTGGAAGCTATAAATGGATTTCCCTAACAACTTACTCAGATTGAAGAAACTACTTGAAATGAAAAGTTTCAAACCAAAAAGAAAATAAGTGCAGTTGTCATGACTCAACTTCTGGACAACTCTAGCTGGGTAGCTGTGAATCTTCAATGACAGCCTAGTTTTAGGCTTTTCCTTAACTGTTAGTTAGGCATCTACCTGAAAGAGGAAGACAGATGGCTTCATACAGGCTAAGATCTTTCTGCAATAAATACGTATTGATTTCAGTATCAGCAGCTGATATTTTAAAAAATGAACTTGCAAGCCTGAACATGCATATGTAGCTGTGGTTATAGATGTCAAGTAAGCAATACTAATTCTGGTGAAGTGCACATGGAAAGACTCTGAAGATGGTTATAATTCTTATATTAGGCTCCTTTGAAAGCAGAAACGGTGTAACAATGAGATATTGTTTTGATGTTGCTATTATTGATAATGATACCATGTGGCATTTCCCTACTGCATAAGAAAGCTTTTTCTCACCATAGTCTATCATATAATAATGTAAATTTAGGGTTTTTAATATGGTAAGTAATTCCAGATAATAAGATCCATTAGGGATATTGCTCATGGTTGATTGTTGTTTTTTTCCAGCCATGCTCCAAATCAGCTGTCTTTGTAAATATTTTCATTTTTAATAGGCCAAAGTCAAGAATTATTCCAAATAACCCAAGAAGTGGACAGTTCTCATGCCGAAAGTTTGTTGCACTGTTTTGCCAGCACTTTTAACGAAGTAAAGACCTTGGCATTTGATCTGCTAATGAAACTTCATCCTTTCTTGCCTTATTTTCAGGTACAGGGACAGCTCACAGATTTATTTATTTATTTATTATCTATTATGAAATTTATGTGATCATCCAATTCACTCATGTTGACTAGATATTGACAGTTTCAAAATTACCACACATAAAATTCTTCTGGCACTGATTAGACATTGTTTAACTATGTTAATCAGAAGTCAAGATTTCTGTTTATATATCCAGATGACTGAGCGGGTTACAATTTAGACTCACCAGTTAGTATTTAAAACTTTTTTTTTCTGCATATTTCAGGATCCTGAAAAACTACAACCATTGTTTCAGGTAGCTATGCAGCTCAGCCAAAGTTCCAAGCCATATGATTGTGTGACTGCTTCCTATTTACTGAACTTCTTAATACATCAAAAAGAATTGTTGAAGATTTTTTCAGAAAATTATCAACCTCTGGGCATGTTTCAGCCAAATGAAGATCTACTTGCCGACTCGTTAGAGAAGAACACTTTATTCGGTCATTATTATACATTCTGTAGTTTAAAGTTTCCATCCTGTATTGAAAGATGATCGCATTATGTCCAGAGAAAGTCTTCATATTCAGATGTAATATGTTTCTGTTTTAACCTAAACTTTGTCCTTGTGTTTTCAATCTTAGGTACCAACTCGTTCATGTATGAGCTCTTAGAAGCTTTCTGTATATTTGCTTTTTTGAAATTTTTATTGACCTGGGAATTTTCATCTAAACTTCTAAGGCATAAAAATGTCTGCAACAATCTTTCTTTCTAATGGCCTAACCCCCAATTCTCTGGCCTTCATATCCAGTCTGATACCACTTTACATATTTAGACTTTGGAAACTTGCTACAACAAATTACGCTGATTTTACAGACATTTGGTCTGACAACGTACAGCTTTAAGCATTTTTCATTTTTATTTTCTGTCTGTATATTCTCTAGTCAATCCATATATCCTGTTAAAACACTGATTCCTGTAACCTGTAACTGGGCAAATCGGTGCACCATAGGGCAAAGCTTTTTAAACCAAATGGGCTAATTTAAAGAATGCGTCCGATCTATGACTCCAATGGAATTGAAATCTGTTAAATTTTATAAAACATTTTATGACATAAACATTATCATAAAACAGATTATGACATAACACAAAATGTCATCAAACATTTCTTGTGCTGATGTTTGATTGTGTTATACTGTTCAACATGGGTTATTTTCAAGGCAGATACCTCTCTGAATGAATCCCAACTTTTCGAGGGAAGGCAATACATTAGAAGCTCTGCCATTGTTGACCCAAGGAATCATGCTGGTCTAGTTTTATCTCTATAAGTGGCTCTAGTGTCATTTTTATGCTTTTGTGTGATTTGCTTGTCTGTTTAATATAAAACTAGGATTTGGTAAGGATTTGGTATTTACAAAGACTTATACCCTTCTGTCCTTTTATTTATCTATAGTTATCAAGTACTTGTTGGAAAATCTTGAAAGAGAAATATTGCAAGCTGAGAGGTCTTTACTCCATGCAGCTGCTTCATTCCCAATGTATGGCAGAGTGCACTGTATCACTGGGGCTTTGTGTCAATTAAAGTGAGTAATATTGAATACTGATGTGAATTGCAATCACATTCATTGATTTCTTTGTTGCTGTAGAGCAGGGGTGTCAAACTCAATTTCATTGAGGGCCGCATCAGCATCGTGGTTGCCATTGGGGGGCCGGGTGGGTGTGGCTGGCATGGGCGTGGCCTACTGGGTGGGCATGGTCAGCTCCATGTCACTCATGTCAGGCACCTGTGCAGGCCTGGGCAGGAATGAGTCGCATCTGAGGGTGGGGAAGAGTGGGTGGGACAGGGGGCGAGTACCAGGGCATGGTCCACTGGAGGAGCCTCACTGAGCCTCAGGCTGTGTACGGGGCCCCTGGACAGTGGCATGGACTGCCTAGAGCCCTAGGCAGCAGAGGTCAATTGCCCAGCCTGGCCCTTGAGCTCCCACGGCACCAGGACCCCACAGCCCTGCCTAGCCTAGCCGCACTTCCCCGAGGGGGTGCCCAGCTGCACTTATCTCCTCAGTGCTGCTGCTGCTGTGCTCACTCTCCTTGGCCAGGTTGCTCATGGTGGGTGCAGGAGGACAAAGTGCGTGGGTCAGAGGGAGGCCCACTCCCTCTCCATGTGAGGAAACCTGGCTTTGTAATCAAAGCATCCTCAGCAATAGGATGGGAGACCACCAGGGGAAGGCAAAAGGGCAACAGGGCTGCTGGTGGCCAAGTGCTAAAGCAGGACTTCCCTCAGACCCTCCCTCCCTCCCTCTTATTCCAATCTCCCTCCCTCCTTCCTTCCTCCCTCCCTCCCTCCCTCCCTCCCTCCCTCCCTCCCTCCCTTCTTTCTTTCTTTCTTTCTTTCTTTCTTTCTTTCTCTTTATTTCTTCCCTTCCTTCCTTCCTTCCTTCCTTCCTTCCTTCCTTCCTTCCTTCTCTTTCCTTCTTTCCTTCCTTCCTCCCTCCCCTTCTTCCCTGCCTCCCTCCTTTTCATTCCCATCTCCTTCCTTCCTTCCCTTACTTTTTTCCTGTTTCACTCCCCTCCTTCCTTCCCTCCTTCTCTCTGTGCCCAGGAAGGGACGAGGAGAGGGGAGAGGTTGGCAGCACTTGTCTCAAAGAATAAGAGTTGGAAGAAACCTTTAAGGTCTTTAGTCCAAGCTCCTGCTCAAGCAGGGGACATACACCATTCCAGCCAATGGAATATCCAATCTCTACTAAAAGCCTCCAGTGATGGAGCATCCACAACTTCTGAAGGCAAGCCTTTTCACTGGTTAGTTGTTTTCACAAGTGCTTAGTTCTAGGTTGGTTTTCTTCTTGATTAGTTTCCATCTATTATTTGCCTTCTGATGCTTTGGAAAATAGGTTGACCCCTTCTTCTCTGTGGCAGCCCATCAAATATTGGAACACTGCTATCATGTCACCACCAGTCCTTTTCACTGCTAGACATACCCAATTCCCACAAACATTTGTCATATGTTTTAGCCTCCAGCCCCCTAATCATCTATGTTTACCATCCATTTAGACCAGATGGTCCCCCTGGTTTGGTTTATAGAACAGTGGCCACAAGCAGAGCCTTCTCAGAGACAGCACTCCCATTATAGAACTTTCTCCCAAGGAAAATATGAACAGTGCAATCCTCACCCATTTAGAGGCAACTCCAAACACACTGTTGAGCTAGGCATATGTAAAACAACAACACATTTTATGGCCAAACAGCACTAGTAAATTACTACTACTATTTTTCTTTCTTAAAATACATACTTTTAATATTGTTTTAAGCAGTGCTAGTGCTTGTAAACTACCCTGGATTTCTCAGAAACTTTTAATTTCAAATTAGATGTTGATTTAATAAATTAGGCATAAGAAACAAATGTTTAAATACATCTAAATCCCACAGACCTACTGCCTCCTAGGCGCATAATGCAGAGAAAATAAGGCATTGCATTTCTAGCCAGCATAGTTACAGGATGATGGGAACTGTGGTTCATGACACCCAAAATATATTAGTTTGGGTAAGGCTGGATTAAATTATAAAAGAGCAGATGAAGGAAATAATTTGGGTGGGGGAGTTGACTCGGCCTTTGAATTTCAATTCACACCAATTTCTAACTTTCCATTCAATCCAAAGAGTTTTATTATTGCCTGGATTTTAGGGAGGGGAGGAGGCAAGAATAGACCACAAAGCTAATCTGCAAGTTTGCTCTCTAGTCACCTGCACACCACCTTCCTGTGTATGTGTGCATGTGTATGAGAGACAGAGAGAGAGAGATCCCCTTTTTGTAAGTTTGCTTACTCTGCAACTCCCTGCTGCCTCAATCTCTCTCTGTCTCTGTCTCTCTGTCTCTCTCTCTGTGTCTCTCTTTCCCTCTTTCTCTTTCTCTCTTTCTCACACACACACAGAAACACCACACACACAAAGGTTAATAAAAAAGAGGAGGGGGGAGAAAGGTGGAAGCTCTCCTTTTTTGTAAAACCTCGGCTTCCTCCTCCCCTCCTGGCTTTTTCTGTGTCTCTGTCTCTCTTACACACACACACACACACACACACACACACACACACACCCTTTCCGTTTTCTCCTCCTCCTTTTCCTCAGCTGCACTTGAACGGAGTGGAAGAATGGGGAAAGCTCTCCTTTTTTGTAACACCTCGGCTTCCTTCGCCTCCTCCTCTTCCACTCCTGACTGGGCCTGACAGGGTTAAGCAGGGAGGGGAGGGGCAGGCTAAAGCAAATGAGCTGCTGCTGCATGGCTCTCTGTTTCCTGCACATGCTCCAAGGCACCCTGCTGGGTTGCAGTGGGCCAGGGCTGGGGCAGCAGGGGCCGGTCCCTTACCATTTCTGGGACAGCCCCGGGGGGCCAAATCTGGGCCCTCCCTGGGCCTCATCCGGCGGGCCTTGTGTTTGACATGTCTGCTGTAGAGTAAGCTGAAGGACTGCTTGGTCTTGAAATGGTGGGCTGGCAACAGTCCTTGGAAAAAGTAGGGGGAACAAGAACAAATGCTATATGAAATTAAATTTTAATTAGAATGTAAGTTTCATTCAGTGTAATTATTTTCCACATGTTATGCATTTTGTCTTTCTGCCACAATAAGTAAAGTTTGTGGGTAAAATTTGGAGAGATTCTTGTGGGCAGATCTAGAATTTGTAGGGTCTGCATAGCCTCTCAATGACTCCTGTAATAGAAGTTTGCTTGGGCAAACTTATAAAAAAATATGCTCTTGATTTGAACTCAAATATGCTCTTTATTTGAGCTCAGTTCCATTAAGTATGTGGTTTTCATGGCAACACTGTGTAAATAGTTTCTATTGCCTTCTGGAATGCTTTCCAATTTTCCAGTTGAGACTGTGGCCTGGATTCCATGGTGGTCTTGTATTAAAGATATAACCAGACTGAACTACATGAATCTTTTGAAGAGAATTCTATGTTTCTTCCTCAGTGAAAAACAGTTGCATCTAATCGGATTAATCCTGTTAACCTAGGATGTAACCACGAGTTTCAATAGTGCCAAAAGGAAATATAGATGAAATATGGGAATGCTTACTAAGAGGAGGGGAAATTTAGATTGTACTTCAGATAATAAGACACCTTGAGAAGATACTGAGAAGTATCCTTTTTAGTATATCTCTTTGTGTTTGGGATTCCAGTGATTCATCTATTTATATAACCTTCATTGAGAAGAAATATGACATGTAATAAATTATAATATAATCTTGCATGCAGTAAAATAATTCTGTAGTTTTAAGCTGTAATTTATATGTGATGAGTTTATATTGAATAAGCATTAATTTATCATATTTATTTTATTTTTAAACTTATAATTAATTTTAGGGTGACTTGATTCACAGTGAATTTTTTTTTTGTTCAATTGTTCTTTGTTCAATTTATTTGTTACAGTCATATGACATTGACCAGTGAATGGAAGGAAGTAGTGAGAAAACTTATTCTGATGTCCTACAAACTTTCTGCTGTAGTATCTCCTGTAGTTCAGAGTTCATCTCCAGAAGGTCTTATTCCAATGGATACTGACTTGGGTAATGCAGGAATATTCCTAAGATTCCTGATTTTTTTAATGCACTAACTTCAATGACTTTTATGTATTTTGTTTATCAAACCTGATGTCTCTTTGCTGAATCAAATAGTTTCCTTTTCTGAGCCCCCCAGAACTGTGCATTCCAGTATTCTTATCTCTATATATGTTGGTTCTGGTCAATATGATGCTGTATTTTCAGGGTCATTGTAAAATTGAGATATGAATGCTTATTATTTCTCAAGAACATGCAGCTATTGAGTATATGGCCAATATATGTCTCAGAGTGACCGAGGAATAGAATAGAACAGAACAGAACAGAGCTGGAAGGGACCTTGGAGGCCTTCTAGTCCAGCCCCCTGCTCAAGCAGGAGAACCTGTACCATCTCAGACAAGTGACTGTCTAGCCTCTTTTTAAAAATGTCCAGTGATGGAGCGCCCACGATTTCTGGGGACAAGCTATTCCACTGGTTAATTGTCCTCACTGTCAGGAAGTTTCTCCTTATTTCCAGGTTGCTTTTCTCTTTGATCAGTTTTCAACCATTGTTGCTTGTCCTTCCCTCTGGTGCTTGGAGAATAATTTGACCCCCTCTTGTTGGTGGCAGCCCCTTAAATACTGGAATACTGCTATCATATCTCCCCTATTTCTTCTTTTCTTTAGACTAACCAAACCCAAGTTCTGCAGCAGTTCTTCATAAGTTTTAGTCTCCAGGCCATTGATCATCTTAGTTGCTCTTCTCTGAATTCTTTCCAAACTCTCAACATTTTTTTTGTAATATGGTGACCAAAACTGGCTGCAGTATTCCAGGTGTGGTCTTACTAGGGTTTTATAAAATGGTAGTAATACCTCGCGTGATATTGATTCTATGCCTCTGTTTATACAACCCAGGATTGTATTAGCTTTTTTGGCTGCTGCTGCACACTGCTGGCTCATGGTTAAGTGATTATCCACTAGGACTCCAAGGTCCCTCTCACAGTTACTGTTTTTAAGCCAGGTCTCGCCCAGTCTGTACTTGTACCTTTGATTTTTCCTGTCTAAATGTAAAACTTTGTTTTTGTCCACATTGAAACTCATTTTGTTGGATAGGGTCCATTGTTCAAGTCTGTCAAGATCTTTTTGGATCCTGAGTTTGTCTTCTGGGGTGTTGGCTTCTCCTGCCAGTTTGGTGTCATCTGCAAATTTGATGAGTTCCCCTTCAATTCCCTCATCTAAATCATTGATAAAGATATTGAAGAGTACTGGGCCTAAAATGGAACCTTGTGGTAGGAGCATTGCCTAGTTCAAATCAACTTTTGTTTGCTGGAAGTTTCATGACACTAAGTCATTTGCAATTGTAGCTGATTAATAATAATGATTTATAAATTTTTGCCCTAAGCATCCATATAATTAGCAGAGACATAATTATAAGCTTCTCAGTTGTGACCGAAATAGCCTAGAAACCCCCTAGATATAACATACTTACATCCATTAAAAAAATGGATAAGCCCCTCTTCTGTTTGATACAGCTATATGCAAAAATTTGGCATCCCTGATTATATTGTATATTTCAGAGAATCTCTTAAGTCAAGAGGTTTCAAACTTTTTCAGATTTCAGAATTTGTAAAAAAAAATTCTTGGGACATCTGATCAATAGACAAAGTTCTAGTGACAGATAGTTGGCTGCATTCAAATGAACATTTGTTGCTACATCAAGGTTCTGCAGAACAATTTGAAAAACCCTTTCTTAAAGCATCTGATTATAAATTTTGCGGAACACATACTGTGTTCACGTGCCATACATATTCTCACAATTTCTTTTGATTCTTCAGCCCCCAAACATCTTCCTATGTGGACCGAGGAAATAATAACATTGAGGCTATGACAAATTGCTATTTCATTTTAGATGAGGAGAATGATGTTTATTAGGAGTGATGGGCTGAAGAGTTTATTAGCATAAGTGTTCAGTCTTTGATTTGGTTTGGTCAAAAAACTTGATTTATTTGGTTTAAAGTTAAAAAAAGACAAAGGTTTCCTTGTCAGTCATGCCCACTCTAGGGTATGGTGCTCATCTCTGTTGGCCCAGGGGGCTGTGTTGTCTGAAAACAGTTTCCGTGGTCATGTGGCCAGCATGGCTCTATGCCAGGAGTAGGCAACCTTGGCTCTTTTATGACTTGTGGACTTCAACTCCCAGAATTCCTGAGTCAGCTATGTTGGGAGTTGAAGTCCACAAGTCATAAAAGAGCCAAGGTTGCCTACCCCTGCTCTATGCCAAAGTCATATGGAATGCTGTTACCTTCCCAGCGAAGTGGTACCTATTAATTTATTTGCATTTGCGTGCTTTCGAACTGGTAGGTGGGCAGGAGCCAGTTGAGTTTAAAGGAAGGGATTTAAAGGAAGAGGTTTAAAGGAAGTTTAAAAGAAGGGGACATAAATCTGAAACTTACAACTTGTTTTCCAGAAAAATCCATGCAAGCCATTGGAGTAAAATCATTACTAGCTATGTGTTTGAAAACTGAACTGGATTGGTTTCATGTTTTGTATTTATATGATAACATAAAAGCATAATGTTTGCCTGGTATAGTCAGTGCCTTGATCAAATTTAAGCATGGTCAAGATAGAAAGTTGATAGGCCCACATGTGGTTGACATTCACATTTCCAAACATACACAGAAGAAGAAGAATGGAAACCAGGACTGGCAAATCCTTTCCAATTTTTCTCTTACACATTCATTTCTTTAATTATTTCTGCTCTATCATGACTGAGAGGCCATTCCTTCTTTAAAGTTGCCATGCCTTTTCTTTGATGAAGTAAGCAATGGATAGGGACACACCTATTTTTTTCTTTCTCTAGCAGTTTAGAATAGGACAAATGGTTCTCACCTAAAGACTGTATTGAACTTTTATGAGAAGTTTTAAAGTTACACAGAAGACTGCCAAATATTAGTCTCAGAGCTATCTATAAACCTATGGCTCCAAATGGTCTGCCCAAAGCATATGTAAAATGCACATCTGCTGGTGGTGCATATAAGTAACAATAACCTACTGTTTTAACTAGAAAAATGGGTCTGGCCTTAAGAAAATTTAATTAAAAGCAATAGAGGGAAAGGATGACAAAACCAGGGAAAAATTTGGAGTAGATCATTGTATGGGATCACAGAGTGCAGGGTTAATGGCCTGTAATAGTAATAGTAGTAAAGTTGGAAGGGACCTTGGAGGTCATCTAGTCCAAGCCCCTGCTCAGGCAGGAAACCCTACACCATTTCGGACAAATGGCTGTCCAGTCTCTTCTTAAAAACTTCCAGTGTTGGAGCATTTACTGCTTCTGGAGGCAGGCTGTTCCACTGATTAATTGTTCTCACTGTCGGAAGTTTCTCCTTAGTTCTAGGTTGCTTCTCTCCTTGATTAGTTTCCACCCGTTGCTTCTTGTCCTGCCTTCAGGTGCTTTGGCTTCTTGTCCCTGCCTTCAGGTGTTTTGTAGTTTCCAGATCTTTCATATTACATTCCTACAGTTTCTTCCATCAATCGAGCTGGCTGTTTCTGAAGGAGTAGAAGTATATCATGTCTGGAGGAACATAATGCTTCCATTTGAAATGTAATAAATTATGGCTAGCTGAAGGTGAAAAAATGGACTGATCATTAGGGTCAAAGGAGAGAGTGACAATGTTAACTTTATAGCAAAAGAATAAGAGATCAGGAACTTTAAGGAAATTGCATTGATTGAATTAGAAGAGTTATATTACATAACCCTAACAAGAACTTCACACAGTGATGAGGCAATCCTAACAGGTTGACTTTGTGTAGTCATTATATATTTTAAAGTAAATTTTCTGTTTGGTCACAGAAACATCAGAGAGATTGCAGTCTATTCTACTTGAGATACAGCCATGTGATACAAATGATTACTTCACAGAAGCAAAATTGTTAAAAGAATATTACGGACCAGACTGTGGTGATGGGAGAGCTCCAAACGTTTGTACTGAAATTAAAGGTAATTAAGGGTGAAACAAGTTTGTGTCAAGAAAGACTATGATGAAGATTAGAGGATAATCTTGGAATTTTTATTCCAATAACTTGTTATTCACAAAAACCAAGACTAGTTTTCTCATTTATTTATTTGAATCCAACTGATCTTTAATCTTAAGATTAGTCTGTTGCCATAGCTATTCCAGAGAAATGTCATTGGGGACTGCTGGTTGCTTGCTGCTTCTTCTGTTCTCTTTTTTTTCTCAGCATAATTGTAAACTGTTTGGATTCAATGCCTTTTAAAGCATTTATTTATTTATTTATGAGACTTATATACCGCTTTAAGTGCAAGCACTCTCTAGGTGTACACCAGTAAGCAATGTATATATATATATTTACATTGCCCCCAACAATCTGGGTCCTCATTTTACCTACCTCGGAAGGATGGAAGGCTGAGTCAACCTTGAGCCGGTGAGATTTGAACCGCTGACCTGCTGAACACAGTCAGCTAAAGTGACCTGCAGTACTGCACTATATTGATTACTATTAAAGGAAGCTGAGAAAATTTGCCTGAGAAAATTACTTATACTAACAGTAGTAAATCTCAAAATGATTATTCTTATTATAAAAGTTTAATATTGGACTCATCCAGATGAGTGCTGGAGATAACGGTAGTCCTCAGTTAACAACCACCCATTCAGTGTCTGTTCAGAGTTGTAATGGTATGGAATGAGTGTTGAATTCTTATGGCTGGTCCTTGAAGTTCTGGTTGTCCCACATTCTCCACAGTCACATGATTACAATCGGGGTAATTGGCAACTGATTTGCACTTAAGACTGTGGGGTGCGGTGTCCCACAGTCATATGATTTGGGGAAGCCAGCAGAGAAAGTAGCAAGCTACTTGGGTAAATCTCCTTTGCCTGGAAGCAACCATCTCAAGTCTCGTGGTGCTTATACCACATTGGCCTCTTCCACAAGCTCTCTCTCACTGCACAGCAGTCATCCCAAGCCTTGCTACATTCATGCTGGACTGTATTGGCCTCTCATTCATCCTCTCCTGCTCTGCTGCAGCCACTTACCTGCCTGCTGGCCTGCTTGCAAACCCCTCTGGGACTTGCAACTTCCTGCTGACTTTCCTACTCACTTGGTTGTTGGAAGCCAGTAGGAAGTTGTGAGGAACTCCTTATTTATTTATGAAATTTATTTGCTGCCTATTTCGTACCTGGGTGACTTATAATATAAAAGCATTAAAAAATTAAAAACATGACAACCATCAACATCAAGGTCCTTGCTTAACAATCCACAAACCTTGCTTGCTGACAGCAATGGGGAGTGCCATTACTAGGCCGTGAAGTTTTGTGAGTTTGTGCTTTGTGAAATCATTGCTTAGCAGTGAAAATTCTGATCCCAATTACCACTAATATCTGAGGAATATCTGCATAGTAATTGCAAATTAATTTAGGGACCTAAATCTGAACTTTGGTTCAGCTTGTAGTATTCTAGAGCTAGTCCAGTCTAAATCTAAGACCAGTTTAAAGATAATATTTGGAAAAAAGCCTTTTTCCATAATCTAATAAGGGAAAAACATTGTTTCCATTTTTTAAATTATTATTTTGAATTACAGTAAATGTGATTTGTAGGAAAGCTTGATTGTTATGAGGAGAAGCATGATACTTTCCTAGAGATGCAAATCAAGCTCCTTTCCATGTTGCGCTAATGTTTCTGAGACATATCTAATGCCTCCACTTTTATGTTAACAATGCAAGTATTTATCTTTTTTGCATTATCTTGGAGCCTCATGGAATTAGATTGGTGTTGGAGCATTATAGAATCTCAGAATTGGAACAGAAGAGATTCAGATGCATCCATTCTATTCTGGAGAAGTTATAAATTACTGTTATATTTTATTGCACAGACTAGCTGATGCATATAGAATGATCATTGGTATATTAAATAATATTAAATAGAATTGTAAATTTTTTTAGGTGTTTTCTGAAAGTTTAGATAAGATTGTAGAATAATTTTTTTCTTGTTGTTGGTGTTCTGGTGATTCTAATTCTTTGGCATTCAGGTGGTCTGAACTCATCCTATATCTCACCTTTATTTCTGTTTTGAATAAAAGAGTAGAATGTCAACTTATTTCTCCTAAGTTTATTATTTACAAGAAGCCACTGACCATGAATATCCAGAGATTTGAGGTATTTTGTCAATAATATTGTGATGGGAATGAATGTGAAAGGCCTAAAAACACTGTCTAATACAATTGTTTGATTTTTTTCTTCCCAGAAAATAAAAAGTTGAAATCTAACACTCTGCAAGCTTTTATCTTATCTTTGCAGCCAAAGAAGTTATAGATATAGTATGCATAATACTGCATGCATCTTTCTGAGCTCCCTGTCAATATTAATCAGAATAGTGACATGGAATAGCTGAACTGTTTAATGAACTATATTCTTGTGCATGTGTTGAATGTTTCCAGTGGAAATGAATATTTGAATATTGGGGAACTTCTAGGTGAATAAGGACTGTTTGAAGAGGTATCCATGATCAATGGAGACAGCACTGCTGTAAAGAATCTATCCAGAGAAAGAGAGAAAGGGAGATTATATTCTAGATGGCAGCTCTTCATGAAAGAAAAAAAACAATGGTCTCCCATGGATTTGAGTGCCAGGAGCCAATTGAGCAGCAGTCAGCCTTTTAAACAGAAACTAAACCAGCTAAACTCACTTTTTAATTAACATTCAGAAATGCTCAGTTTAATACTTTATATATATTAAAGACTTTTAAAATAGTGAGCTTATTTCTTCAACTTTAAGGAATTTTAAACAGAGATTTAAGATAAATTGTAAAATAATATACAATTGGAAAAAAAGCATTAAAAAGATTGATTTCAGAAAGTTTTAAATGAACTAGGAGATCAGAGAGATTTGGAATGTTGGCTATTTTTGCTGTACGATATGAAAAACAAGCATATAATTAAATAATATACCATGGGAAGTGACTGAAGCAGAACTAAACTGGTATTAGGCTTGTTGAAGATTGCAAATGGACACTAGAGGGAACTAAAGCACTAGGTAGAAAACAGTTAAAATGGCTAAGCTGACTATAACTTTTACTTGTCATAAAGAATCCTTCAAAATGGACTGAAGCATTAATAATACCTCAGAATTGGTATAGATGCCAGTGGTTAAACATTTAGAAGCAAATGTGGATAGTTAAAGTGACCTGCATTGTTTGTTTGTGTCCGTGTGAGACCTGGACCCCAATATACTGGACGACTTTCATCCAGTAACTAACTTTTCCTTTTTGGGAAGTTGGTTGAGAAGGTGATTATTCAGTAGCTTCAAAAGGCCATGGATGAAGCAGATTACCTATATCTTTTTCAATCAAGATTCAGACCCAGATGTGGGATAAAAACAGCATCGGTTGCACCTTGGATGATTCCTGGCATGTAAGATGGGGGTCCTGCATCAATCCTTGTATTTGACCTCTCAGGAGCATTTAATACCATCAAACAGAATATCCTTCATTGACTTGGAAGATTAGGGGTGGATAGCATAATGTTGTGCTGTATTGCTTCCTTTCTTCAGGGTTGATTCAGTTAGTGGTGATTAAGGAGGAGAGGTCCCTCCCTCAAGTCCCAACTAAGTGGGGTGCCACAGGTGCTCTTCTCTCTCCTCTTTGGTGCTCTCCCTTTTCCTATTCCTATTCTTCTTCTCTCCTACATGAGGCCGCTTGGTGAATTCATCCATTGCCTTAGGGTGGAGTCTCCTCACTATGCTGATGTTACCCAACTATATACATCTTTGTCCCAAGTGAATTAATCAGTGATGTGAAGTTTTATCCTGGTACCTGGAGGCTGTGATAATCTAAACAGAGGACAACAGGCTTTGGCTGAATTCTGGCCAGACTAATTGGGTTTTGAGGCTTACTGATTCTAGGACTATGCCATCTTTGGTGCTGGATGGGGTGGCACTGCCCTAGGCAGACTCGATGTGCAATCTGGTTTTTTTTCCTAGACTCATGACTCAAGAGCAGGTGGTAGCATTGGCTAGGAATTCTTTTGCACAGTTTCACCCATTCTTGAATTGGAAGCTCTGCTCACAATCACTAATCATTTCCAGATGCACTTTATATAGGGGCTGCCCTTGAAGAATATAAGTAATCTTCTACTTACAATCTCTGTTGATTTTATGACCTTTTTGCTGTGGTTTTTAAGTGAGTCACAAAAGTGAAGTGAAGTCATTAAACAAATCTGGCACACACACAGACACAAACACACACACACCATTGACTTTGCTTGTTGGAAGCCAATTGGGAAAGTCACAATTTGTGAAGATGTAAACATAGGATTCTGCAATTGTTCTAAATAGGAGCCATTTGCAAAGCGTCTGAATTATAATCATGTGACTGAGAGGGTGACGCAACAGTTGTAACTGTGAGGGTGTTTTTTCATATGGGTTGTAGATTTAATTTTAAATAGTATTTAAAATAGTATTTTTCATTTTTAGTAATGATTTTTTAAATATTTTTATAATAACTTATGTATTTGTCATTTTATTGATATTGTTGCATGTTACCCAAAGTCACTTTTTATGAGATGGGCAGCTGTATTACTATAATAAAAATGTATTTTTACCCAAATTATGTGATATATTCTATTAATTATTAGTAGAGTAGTATGACATTGTGACAGAAGTCTAAAAGAAGTCCTGTTTGAAGGATAAAAATCTGCTGCATTTTATTTATTTTATTGATTAATGGGTCAGGCAGGATATTTAAAATATAGATCCATTTTGGGAAATGTTCTTTATGTTGCTGTTTACATTAAGTACATGGAGTTGTTGAATTCCACAGATTTATCAGAATCTGTATTCCAAACAAATAAAACAGTAAAAAGAGGGAACAGCTTGTAAAAGGAGTCAATTTTGCTATTTTCCCTGTTTAATCATAGGGATTCATGTTTATACACATAGATTTTAACAGTTATTAGTAATAAAAATAATGATCTTTCAGTAGTTGAAAATCAGGAGGCGTTTTATAGTATCTTTTTTTATAAATTGCATCAAAAGGCCTAAGGTTGTAGTATTATGAATCTGATGAAGTAAGCTGCAGCTCACAAAAACTTACACTTTTAAATAAAACTTGTTAGAAAAGGTACTACCAGACACCTGATATTTTGCTACCATAAGCTAACAGGGCTGTCCTATAGAGCTAGTCTATTTTATCATTTGTATACTGTGGGTCAATATATTTTCCCTAATTAAACATGAGACTCCATGCACTAGGTCTGTCTCTGTACATTGCAGATTTTTAACACAGTGTGCTGATGCACAACAGATGTGATGCACAACAGATGTGACACACTTTTGGTAAGGAAAGAGGAGGGAGTGGGTTTGATTAGGGTAGTCCAGGTTTGTAGATGTTTAATTTACAGAAATAAATTGAGTGGTGGGAGGCATTTATTTAGCTTATACTGCTGAACCATATGGGTCAGTTACAAAGTGAATACTATTTTCGGTTTTCTCTGCACATGGATGTTGAAGAGAATGAAAACTCTATATTCAGTATCAGGACTTTGTCTGTGCAATGCCAAATAGAGGAAGCATAGATCAATCATCTGGTCAAAGCTAACATTTGAGCAGCATAACAATCAATACATAATGAGCTTTTGTAGTGTGAGATCATATACCATCAAAAAACAGAACTACATTTCATAACATGCCACTATATGTTCGGAGGATGTTGCTTGAAGGTTAATGTGTGTTCACTTGAGATGGTTATAAATCCTGTTTCTTGAAAATATGCCTGGATTTTGAAACACAGAAGCTTTCTTATACCAAGTCACCTAAAAGAAATATCTAGACCATAATTTGATGCCAAAAGATCACTAGATTAATTGTTTTAAGGGCCAACAATTTTGCAAGGTTTTATATGCACTGCTTCTGAGCTACAGCCCAAGCTGTAATCTCTTAATTGTTTTCTAGGCTAGTTACTTTCTATTTCTTGAATATTCAAACCTGTCACATCTAGTTCTAATTCTAATTCTACTTGGCTGGTTTTGTCAACTTTGTTCATTTAAACGCCAAGACTGAGTTCTGTGCAAACTTACATTTTATTATTTGGTTGAATTAAATTATTTAGTTGTCTTGACAATGTATTTAATCTTACTTATTTCATGGATGATGTTGATTTACCCTTATTACTCAAAGATTACATTGCTAAATAGTCTTGGTGGAATGATTTTTAAAAGGTTGTTAGAGCTGTTGTAAGACGTTTGCTTTGTGTCTTAATTTTTTTAAGGTAAAGAACAACATACAAGTGATGTCACAGCTCAAATGGTGTTGGTATGTTGCTGGCGAAGCATGAAGGAGGTTTCATTACTTCTAGGGAAGTTATGTCAGCTTCTACCTGAACAGATTCTTCCTAGTTGTTCAGATGCACTGATAACAGTGGATCAGGTAGGGTATCCTAAGATGTTACGATTTGTTCATCCAGAGAATTTCAGTGTTTACTGGATGAATTATTGGAATCATTTATCCTGTCACAGTTCTATAGTTCCCTGTCTGGCATGTTCCAAATAATAGCAATATCTTGATGAAAAATAGATAGGAAGAATTGTTTGGGGAAAATAGTAACAGCAGTGTGCTTATTTTAAAATGGGGATCTTTTTAATTTTTTCCTTTCTCTTAATTTGACGTTCTTAATTAGTTCAAAGAACTTATTTAAGCAATGTTCTAGGGCAGCTCATGAATACTTACATTAAGAGAAATAGTGTTGAAGTAAGAATATTATAGCAGTGCAAATTCTGACATTCTAATTCAGTTTATTTTACTTTATTACCAATATGGAATTCTCTTGGAAGAGGGTTTTTTTTAAAAAAAACAAACAAACTAACAACCCATGCCCCATTGGGTCATCATTTCAGAGATTTTTTTTCTTAACAGAGAATGACCATGATAGGCAAAAAGGCAGTGAGAGCAGAAGCAATTTCCAGTTCCCTGCCTGCTCCTCCATTGAGTTTCCTAGTAGGAAGCGAGCTGGGGACCTTTGAAACCCTGCCTCTTGCCTGCCTGCTGCATAAGTTGGTGGAGTGTGTGGAGAGGGTGACACGGACCAGGAAGGATGCATAGACACTTACCCCACTGGTAAGTGTCTGCTGCTGAATTGGAGAGGAACAGGGAGATTGCAAGACTGGTTATGGAAACTCAGATAACATTAAAAATGAAGATCACATGTTTACATCAGCAGCATAGCAGCAACCAGTAGCACTGAAGCAGCCACAAATGTAGAAGTCATGGGTTCCAGATTTTCGACACATTCTGTAAGTTAGACCATTTGAGGTACCTTGGTTCAAAATATTTTGCCCTATGATGTACCATTTCACCCAGTTAAAAGTCATGATGAGTGTTTTAATAGAATATAGATGCTTTCCTCTGTGTTCCAGCCATATGGGCTTAGGAATAACTTAGGATAGTGCTTATGTGTATATATTAAAGTTCATTTACTTACTTCTGCATTTATGTTTTCCATTTGGCAAGCAGAAAGGTGAGATTTGATGAAATTACCATTTCAAGTAAGGCTTTTATGGTCTGTAATTTTGGATAACAAATACATTGATTGATTGAGGATATCATATTCTCTGTAGGCTAGATGACAGAATTATGCTCGCTCAGACCTGTTTTTAAACCTCTCCCCTCCCAATTTTTTAAGACCATGAAGGCAAGCACACCATCTGGGACTGTTCAAGAGAATGGACTGCAGTGTTTACAAGAAATTGGCTTACCACAAGTATTTCATTTGGAAATATTTTGGATTTATTAGATTTCTGTTTTTAATTGATGACCCTTTCCCTTTCCCATATGGTTTTAACCAAGTCAGTTTCCAGCCTTAGAGACTGATATACGTGATATAGATTTTTTTTTCCTTTTTTTGTAGGGGAAGCTTATGATGAGAGTTCAAAAATAAAACTGTAGTTCTTCTAAATGATAATACCATTTTAGACTGAAGAAGTATTGATGTCGTGCTGAATATAGAGTTTTGGAAATAATTCTAACATGTTTATTTACACATTGTCTCAAACAGATGTTTTCAGCTGTCTCACAGCTGTGTGTGCAGTCTTGCAACATTTTGGAAGTGCAGAGAAATGACCATCAATATACCATTAAGCTCCTTTTCTGTTCCAAGTCAAACAGGAATTGGTTTTAAAGAGTTACGTTTACCTTTTAAAGCCAATGCCATGCATTTTGCCTGAAAACGTAGCCATAATTATTGCTGTTTGGTCAACAGCATTTGTTTTTGGAAATCTCTTACATTTCTTAACACTTTATCATGCTAAAACCTTGATTACTCCTTGAAGATAATAAATCTGAATAATTATAAATAAAACAATCCTAATAATGTTGAATATTTTTGTCCATTCAGTTATATGCATTGAATGTATGGTTGCATAGATCTTATTTAACTCTGTTCCCGAGTTCATTTCATAAGACAACTGCATATGCAAATTTTTCTGGTATAGAAATGCATACCATAGTTCCTTTGCATGAGCAATCAGAAAACAGAGAATATTAAAATTTGGTAATTTGAATGTTCAAATATTTGAAATTCTATATAAGGTTACAGTGTTTGTATATATAGTAATGATTCATGAAATACATTTAGTCTCTTGTGAACTTTTCAAGGTGCATATTAATCCCCTGGACAGCTTCTTCCCAACTCTTAACATCTTATTTATTTATTTCTAAAATTTATATGCCGCCCAATCCCAAGGGACTCAGGGCGGCGTACAAAATTAAAACAATCATATGACAATAAAACAATAAAATAAATACATTTATACAGCGTGTCCGATCATATCCCCCCCCCGGGGACATCAGCCCCAGGCCTGCCAGAAAAGGAGAGTTTTAATGGCTTTCTTAAAGGCCGGCAGGGTGGGAGTAGTTTGAACCTCGGGGGAAGTTGATTCCACCAGGTCAGAGCCACCACAGAAAAGGCCCTTCCCCGAGGGCCTGCCAGCCGACATTGTCTGGTCGACGGGACCTGAAGGAAGCCCAATCTGTGGGACCTCATCGGTCTCTGGGAACTGTGCGGCAGTATGTGGTCCTGTAAGTAACCTGGCCCTATGCCATGAAGGGCTTTAAAGGTGATAACCAACACCTTGAATTGCGTCCGGAGACCCACAGGAAGCCAGTGCAGCTCGCGGAGGATAGGTGACACGTGGGCGTACCTTGGCGCGCCCACAATCGCTCTCGCGGCTGCATTCTGAACCAACTGCAGCCTCCAAACACTCTTCAAGGGTAGCCCCATGTAGAGCGCGTTATATTTTGCTTCCATGTATACCACATTATATTTTGCTTTCTCTCCAGCACCATAGCATGTGATCTGTAGAGAAGCTTTATATTTTGGAATTGTAGTTATGTGACTATGGAGGTAGAAATGTAATCATCTTAATTTACTTGCTGTAAATATTGTTTAGAGCTAGTTTGTAGTGATGCCTTAACCACCATCAATTAGCACTGGGCTAGAATTCAGGAGATTGTGAATTTTTGTACAGTGTTCTCTAAAGGGAACCAACCTATTAATAGAGTGATAATCAAAGTAATATTCTGAAATAAACCTTGTTTATTTGATTAAGGCTTCCTCTATTAGAGCCAATTTGATGTAGTGGTTAAGCAGTGGTGGCGAACCTATGGCATGGGTGCCAGAGGCGGCACTTGGAGCCCTCTCTGTGGTACATGTGCCATTGTCCCTCCGCGACCCCTCCTCACTAGCAGCCCCCCCAGAGGAGAGTTGCCCCTGAGCATGGCCCGTGTGGAGCAGCACAGCCAAGGATATGGCAGCCAGGCAGCGTAGACAAAACTCTGCCCTCACACCCCATCATGCATAGTTGATGCTGCAGGACGTGGGCAGAGGGCATGGCCGCCATGGCCCTGCTGGGCTGCCTGGGTGATCTCTGGCGGGCCCTGGAGGCAGTGAGTGGCCCTGCGGAGAGGCAGGGTGGGGGCCGAGCGGGGGCGGGGCCAGTTTTTGGGTACTCATTCTCTAAAAGGTTCGCCATCACTGGGTTAAGGCATCAGGTTAGAAACCAGGAGACTGAGTTCTAGTCCCACCGTAAGCACCAAATCTGCTGGAAGACCTTGAATTAGTCACTCTGTTTCAGCCCTGGAAAGGAGGCGGTGGCAAACCATTTCCAAAAATCTCACCAAGAAAATTTCAGGGATCTATGCATTAGTCATCAGGAGTCAAAAACTGACTCAAAGGAATATATTTACACCAATATTATTTATACAAGGCTCTACCTATATTGCACCTGTGCATAATACATTGCTGATGTTTGCAGCAAGAGTACTAAGAGACAATGAAAGAGAAAACTTTCAGTGAAGTTGTGTAATAACTCAAGGACATAGTCCATTCCTAAATTTTTGCATTACAATATACATTTCAACATTTATAGCATTACTACTGCTACTGTTAGGTTTTTAAAATTCAAATTATTTATATTCCAATTTCCCTTAAAACAATTGTTAATGTAATTAATTTAAAATAAATGGAAACAACATTACTAAAACAGAGGTATACAAATTTATCATGTGTTTCTTAGCTGAGCTACTTTACACTGAAGAAAGGTGATAAACACTTAAAGGCTACTCTTTGTGGAATATTCTATTTTTAATATTTATAAAATAAGTCTATTCAATGAGAATTTAAGGCAATAATACTTTTTTTATTGCCTGTTCATTTGTGAAGGAATGTTTGATATATTTTTTTTTGATGTGGAGAAACATCAAATTTGATATCACCACCTGTCTGAAGTGGCACATAGAAATCATACTGGCATTTGTCAGTGGTAGTTCTAAATTTCTCCCATGAGCTATCCCAAATGTACTTTTGAAAAGTTCAGTTCTGAATTGAAGAAGCTTCTTGGATGAAAAAAGAAACGTTTTCAAGAAAAAAACGAAGTCCATTTGCCTTTTGAAAAGCACCTTTGGGACAATTATGACCTGGATTATTGAGAATCTCCATAGACATTATTCCATGAACTTACATTCTTTTTTTTTCTCACATACACTTCTAAAGTCTGAGTAGGTTGAAGAATGTATGCATACATGTATGTATGTATGTATGTATGATTAATCATTTACCTGTATTCATAGTTCATTCGTCAAAAGTGTTTCTGTATACATGGCATACATTTTTCTCTTTCTTCCACCATGCCAGGTAAAAGATATTGGGGAATATTTCAAGAATCATCTCTTAAAGTCAAGACATAGAGGAGCATTTGAGCTAGCTTATGCTGGCTTTATAAAACTTACTGAAGTATTCTCAAGGTAAAGTGTTCTATCTGTTATGAACTCCTTTATTTTTAATACTTATCTGAAAGTAGCCATTGCTTATCTGGATTTATTGTCCTTTTTGCAGAAATTTTGAGGACAAATTTTGGTGCATTTTACCTGCACCAAATAATGTCTTCTTTAACCAAAGTACCTCCTCACCTTGAATTTTCTCCAAGGTAAATGTCATCTATAGAATCAGCCAAGCCTTCAGAGAGATGGCTTTTCTCCCATGGAACCAATTGTTCCCTGATATCTAGACTGTTCCCCCATTGTTGTGCTTCCAAAGACTTTGAAGATAGTCCTCATCTGAGAACAAAGAGCTATTAGGAAATGTTGTTTCAAATACTATGATTTTATTTTAATGCTTTTGTTGCTTGTTGCAAATCACTCAGAGCCATTTTGAACTCTGTGGTCTTCAACTTATAGTAAGTGAAAAAATAAATGATAATTAAAGCAAAAAGCAAGTGGTCTTTCTGTATACATTGAAAGCCAAAAATATATCTGTAAGGGACAGATTTTAACTCCGTTGTGAATTAAATTTAATACCTTAATATCACATTTTACATCAGTTATATCAGTGGTTCTCAACCTTTCTAATGCCGCGACCTCATAATACAGTTCCCCATGTTGTGGTGACCCCAAACCACTTATACATCACCGGGTGCCAGGGGCATGGCCAAAGAAAAGGGGGAAAAAATGGCGGACAGCCTTGTTTGGCGACTCCCGTGAAATGGTCGTTCGACCCCAAATGGGGTCCTGACCCACAGGTTGAGAACCACTGAGTTATATCTTCCAAGATAATCTCACCTTAGCCACACTGGAATAGTGTAACAGATATAACACAAAAAAACATATAACTATGTTTGTAAATAAATAAAATAAATGTTCTCTTTGTCACCACTGCAACTTAGCAATCAGGGATAGCTAATGATCAAAAACCCCTGTTATAAATTTGCTCTTTCAGGAAGTGGAGCTGGAGATAGAACAGAACAGAATAACAGAATAACAGAGTTGGAAGAGACCTTGGAGGTCGCAACGTCATGTGACGTGTCGCAACGTATCACAACTTTTTTTCCATTGCCGGCAGTGGGGTGGGCATGGTTTCCGCATAATGCATCCGGCCCAAGGGCCGGCAGTTTGACACCCCTGTTCTAGTCCAATCCCTTGCTTAAGCAGGAAACCTTATATTATTTCAGACAAATTGTTGTTCAATCTCTTCTTAAACTTCCAGTGTTGCATTCATAATTTTTAAAGGCAAGTTGTTCCACTGATTAATTTCTAACTGTCAGGAAATTTCTCAGTTTTAGATTGCTTCTCTCTTTGATTATTTTCCATTCATTGCTTCTTGTCCTCCCTTCAGGTGCTTGGAGAAGAGGTTGATTCCCTCTTCTTTGTAGCAGCCCCTATCATGTCACCCCTAGTCCTTCTTTTCATTAAACTAGACATACCCAATTCCAGCAACCATTCTTTATATGTTTTAGCCTCCAGTCCCCTAATCATCTTTGTTACTCTTCTCTGCACTCTTTCTAGAGTCTCAAGATCTTTTTTATATCTGGCAACCCAAACTGGATGCAATATTCCAAGTGTAGCCTTTTGTTGTTGTTAGTTGTGAAGTTGTGTCCGACCCATCGCGACTCTATGGACAATGTTCCTCCAGGCCTTTCTGTCTTCTACTATCTTCTGGAGTCCCTTTAAGCTCACGCCTACTGCTTCAGTGACTCCATCCATCCACCTCATTCTCTGTCGTCCCTTTCTTCTATTGCCCTCACTCTTTCCCAGCATTAGACTCTTCTCCAGTTAGTCCTTCTTTCTTATTAGGTGGCCAAAGTACTTGAGTTTCAACTTCAGGATCTGGCCTTCTAAAGAGCAGTCAGGGTTGATCTCCTCTAGGACTGACTGGTTTGATCGCTTTGCAGTCCAGGGAACTCACAGGAGTCTTCTCCAGCACCATAGTTCAAAGGCCTCAATTCTTTTGCGCTCAGCCTTTCTTATGGTCCCGCTTTCACAGCCATACATTGCAACTGGGAAAACCATGGCCTTGACTATATGTACTTTTGTTGGCAGGGTGATGTCTCTGCTTTTTAGTATGCTGTCTAGATTTGCCATAGCTTTCCTCCCCAGGAGCAAGCGTCTTTTAATTTCTTGGCTGCAGTCCCTATCTGTGGTGATCTTGGAGCCCAGGAAAATAAAATCTGTCACTACCTCCATTTCTTCCCCATCTATTTGCCAGGAATTGAGAGGGCCGGATGCCATGATCTTGGTTTTCTTAATGTTGAGTTTCAAGCCAATTTTTGCACTCTCCTTCTTTACCCGCATCAAGAGGCTCTTTAGCTCCTCTTCACTTTCTGCCATTAGAGTGATAACATCTGCATATCTTAGGTTGTTGATATTTCTCCCGGCAATCTTAATTCCAACTTTTGATCATCTAGCCCTGCCTTTCCCATATGCTCTGCATATAAGTTAAATAGGCATGGTGACAGAATACAGCCTTGCCGGACTACTTTCCCAATTTTGAACCAATCTGTGGTTCCGTGTCCAGTTCTCACTGTTGCTTCTTGACCCGCATATAGGTTTTTCAAGAGACAAATAAGATGGTCTGGTACTCCCATCTTCTTAAGAACTTGCCACAATTTGTTGTGATCCACAGAATCAAAAGCTTTAGCATAGTCAATGAAGCAGAAGTAGATGTTTTTCTGGAACTCCTAGTTTTCTCCATGATTCAGCGTATGTTGGCAATTTGATCTCTAGTTCCTCTGCCTCTTCGAAATCCTGCCTGTACTTCTGGTAGTTCTCGATCCACATACTGCTGGAGTCTAGCTTGTAAGATTTTAAGCACAATTTTACTTGCATGTGAAATGAGTGCAATGGTGTGATAGTTTGAACATTCTTTGGCATTGCCTTTCTTTGGAATTGGAATGTAAACGGACCTTTTCCAGTCCTGTGGCCACTGTTGAGTTTTCCAAATTTGCTGGCAAATTGAGTATAGCACTTTTACTGCATCGTCTTTTAAGATTTTGAATAGCTCAGCTGGAATACTGTCACCTCCACTAGCTTTGTTGTTGCTCAGATTTTCTAAGGCCCATTTCACTTCACATTCTAGGATGTCAGGCTCGAGGTCAGTGATCACCCCATCGTGGTTATCAGGGACGCTAAGCTCATTCTTATATAGTTCTTCTGTGTAATTTTGCCATCTCTTCTTAATCTCTTCTGCCACTGTTAGGTCCCTGCCATTTTGGTCCTTTATCATGCCCATCTTTGCATGAAATGTTCCCTTCATATCTCTAATTTTCTTGAAGAGATCTCTGGTTCTCCCTATTCTATTGTTTTCTTCTATTTGTTTGCACTGTTCATTTAAGAGGGCATTCCTATCTCTTCTCGCTTTTCTCTGGAATTCTGCATTCAATTGGGTGTATCTTTCTTTTTCTCCCTTGCCTTTCGCTTCCCTTCTTTCCTCAGCTATTTGCAAAGCTTCCTCAGAAAGCCATTTTGGGTTCTTGCATTTCTTTTTCTTTGGGATGGTTTTAGTTGCTACCTTTTGTACAATGTTGCAAGCCTCCAACCATAGTTTTTCAGGCACTCTGTCTATCAGATCTAATTCCTTAAATCTATTTGTCACTTCTACTGTATATTTATCAGGGATATGATTTAGTTCATACCTGAGTGGCCTAGTGTTTTTCCCTACTTTCTTCAATTTAAGCCTAAATTTTGCAACGAGAAGCTCATGATCTGAGCACAGTCAGCTCCTGGTCTGACTATATAGAGCTTCTCCATCTTTGGCTGCAGAGCACATGGTCAATCTGATTTCTGTGTTGACCGTCTGGTGATGTCCATGTGTATAGCCGTCTCTTGGGTTGTTGGAAAAGAGTGTTTGCTATGACCATCGTATTCTCTTGACAAAATTCTATCAGCCTGTGCCCTGCTTTATTTTGTACTCCAAGGCCAAACTTGCCTGTTATTCCAATTATATTTTGGCTTCCTACTTTAGCATTCCAAACCCCCATGATGATAAGGACATCATTTTTTGGTGTTGATTCTATAAGGTGCTGTAGGGCTTCATATAACCGGTCAATTTCACCGTTATAAAGTGGTATTAACACTTCATGTAATCTTGATTTTATCTCTCTGTTAATGCAGCCTAGAACTGTGTTTCTTTTTTTGGCAGCTGCAGCACACTGCTGGCTCATATTTAAGTGATTGTCCACTAGGACTCCATGATTCCTCTCACAGTTACTATTATTGAGCCAGGTACCACCTATACTATACCTGTGCATTTGGTTTTCTTGCCTAAATGTAGAACCTTACTTTTTCACTATTGAATTTCATTTTGCTAGAAAGCACCCAATGTTCAAGTCTGTCAAGATCCTTCTATATCTTAAGCCTATCTTCTGGAGTGTTGCCTATTGCTGCCAGTGTGGTGTTGTCTGCAAATTTGATGAGTTCTATCCCCTCATGTAAATCATTGATGAGGATGTTGAAGGGTATGGTCCTAAAACAGCCTTGAGGTACCCCAGTGCATACTTCGCTCCATGTAGACTACATGTTGAGTGTGGTTGGTAAACCTATGAATCCATCTGGTGGTGATGCTGTCTAACCCACATTTTTCTATCTCATCAAGTAGTAGGTTGTGGTCTACTTAATCAATGCCTTACTCAAGTCCAAGTAAATTATATCCATAGCATTCCTCTGGTCCATTAAATTTGTCACTTTGTCAAAGAATACAATAAAATTTGCCTGGCATCATCTGTTTTTGACAAACCCATGTTGGCTTTTAGTTATGACTTTGTTTGCCTCTAGGTGTTCGCTGATTCATTGCTTGTTTATCTTTTCCAGAATCTTCCCAGCTATTGAGGTCAGGGTGATAGATCCGTAGTTTCCTGGATCTATTTTTTCCCTTTTTTGAAGATGGGAACTACATCAGCTCTTTTCCAGTCCCCTGGTAGTTCCTTGCTGCTCCAGGATCTTTGGAAGATATAGTTCAATGGTTCTGAGATCAC